AACAAGTTTTATAGCAGGAACGGATCAATCTGTCTTAAGTTGCTGGGATCTATCTCATGTCCTTCATTTGAAAATGCCTGGCAGAAAAATGCAGCAAGCTGGCAAATGTCACAAGCGTTCAGTGTGTGTTGCCGTGGGTGTTTGTGGGTGTATACTTCTACCGTAGTGAGGACCAACACCATGACTGAGTGTGCGTCTTTTTGTGTGTACGTGTGTGCCTACAAGTGTGGGTGTGCGTGAGAAATATGAATTTGTTGGCAAATGTCAAGAAGTTGGCAGTCTAATGGCTGGGCTGACAGATGATCCATAAAGCCATGAAGTGATTGGTTTGGGGATTCTCATTCATTCTAATGCAACTGTCATAGTGAAGGTGTGTGTGTATAAGTGTGACACTGAGTATAATGCAAAGCAGTGAAGTTGCATAGTTGCAATTAAATGAAAACTGTCCATGTATGTTCAGATACATAAAAAAAAATATGTAACTGTATGGACTACTACTCTGTAACTCCAAACGCCCAACCTTAATTCAAAACAGCCATATTAACTGATATCTCTGATCTAACAGATAAAATGGAGCCTATGTTGTGACATTTGTAAGCTTAACTGGCTTTGTTTATTATATCAAATTTCATTCCCACTTAAGATGAACGTATTGTGTTTTTTATTCTCATACTATGGCCTATATTTGGCTTCTGTGTGCTCATCTTTTATCAACAAGGAGCAACTAAATATATTGATGTACTTGAAAATAATTCAAAATGATATTCTTTGGAGATAATACTCTAATATAACATCTCCAGTCTAAGACCTTAAGGTTTAGAGAGAAAGAACGCAACTTTACAGAAACGATTTTAGCTGAGACTAAATTAATTCAATACAACTGCTACAAATGCCAAGAACAAAGGTTCAAAAGAGCAAAAGGTTCATGAATAAAGAGCAAAAGAATAATGGCAGTAATTTTAGGTTGACAATGGAAACTTGATAAATTACATAAATAGAAATGTTTGAAATGTTTGGCTGTGTATGAGAGTAAATAATGAAATGATGGGCCTTAGAAATTCAGGCAGGATAAAGATTCAGATACCTTGATGCAGGGATGAGGGAATGATTTCACATTTTAAACATGTGCAGTTATAGTTTGTGGGATAAAATATGCAATATTCATGAATTATTTTAACTTGCTTCAAATGAATGTACCGGAGACAGAAACAATGCGGTGTGTGTTTGGATGTGTCCAAAGGTCATGAGCATGAATAAACAGCCTCAGTCTTGTTACTCCATCATCTCACCAAACTGAAAAAGAAAGCGATTGTTATTGATTTGAACTATCGAGTAGTGCCACAGTGCATACTGTTACATTCATCACTACTGATGCACAATGGAAGAAAACAAGCAAAGAAAGAACCCTGCAGATTGCATAAAGCCTTGGATATTGTTATGAATCGAACTGCACGATAAATATTTCCCATTGATCACAGATGTTGGTAGTGGTAGTGTACAACTTTACCTTTCACAACATCGTAGTCAGACCAGATAGCACACAATAGAAGGATGTTAGAAAGAGATTTAGACAAGGTTAGTCAATGACTTGTCTTTTTACAAGCATTGGGAAGATCATCAAGAGAGAGAATTCAAATGGTTCCCTCCTTCTGTGCAAAAGTGTCGTAGTACGATCAGGAATCTGTCTGAGATCCAAAGCCTTGAGCCCAGAACCATTAACACAGATTATGTTATAAATAAATAGCTGAGCGGAGGCATGTCAACGTTTGATTACGCTGTCACAGCTTTGGACATGACATTCGTTGAAATCCTGTTTTTTTTTCATTCCACAGCAGATCCTCAAAGTGAGAACTGACTTTGAGCTTAACTTTCCTTCTGCCGCATATTAGTCTTGTTTACAGCTCCCTGAGATGGATCATGTAAAAATATATTCATGTTACACACAAATACAGTTTATTCCCAATTTCCTTCTTCCCACACCAGTTGGATGTATCAGTGTAAGCTGACTATTTATAGAGATTTCTCCTATCCTTCTTCATGGCCTCTATTTCATAGGCCATATATGTATGTATGCGATGTGCTTGTGTGTGTGTGTGTGTGTGTGTGTGTGTGTGTGTGTGTGTGTGTGTATTAAATGGATGGAATAATAGATGAAGGCTACAATAATGGTTAAAAAAACATTTTCATAAAAGAAAAGAAGATGCTTAACACAACTACCACAGAAATGCTGTTCCAGATTTCATGCACTAACTCAACATCGGACTACTTTTTAATTTAAACTAGTGTATCAGCTTATAAGAAAGTACAATGATGTAATGATTTAAGCACTGGTCTTCACCTCATAATCTTACTAACTTCAATAACAAATTTGTGTGATTAATGTCATGAAATAGTCTGACTAAATAAATCCTTTTTATTCCATCTTTCCATTCTCAAAAGTAGAGGGGAAACTGTTACTCAGTTCATTTAATCAGTTTGGAGTATTAGTACAGACTGTGATAACCACAAATATCCCCTCTATCATGATGATTGGTATTGATTTGAATGTATGTTGTAATTCTGCACTGTTCCAGCACAAACCACAGAAAGAACAAAATGAGACAAAGCTTGGCTGAGAAAACACGGCACTGAACTGATGCTGTTAGCAAAACTAAATCCAATGAATGAATTAAAATAAAAACTAATTTGTTACGGCTCAGTGAGAGTGGAGTTGCAGCAGCTCCTTCTATAGACGACGCGGACTGTGTGTGAGAGAGTTAAAGAGGTGAAAAAACAAACCCTTCAGACAGACCCCTGGAGCAGATGCCGTCCCCTGTGTGCCCAACATTTAACTCATACATACACAGATAGGCAGCACTTTCTTCCACATGCACATGCTAACACCTAAATGTTACTGCACACTTTACCAAAGTCCCTTATTTTTTTAAAACGAAACAGAAAGCTTAAATATAAGCATAAAGAATCACACTTCAATGCATAAAATTGTATCTGCAGCTGCAGAAAAGCCAGAATCAATAGTTGTGAAACAAATCTGCACTTCTTATCTCCGGCTGTGATTTCAAAAGGTTTTGGTCATCATTCAGTGTTGAAATTATGGTTATAACACCTCCAGACAGCTGTGTGCATAAATTCAAACCGTTCCCCCCCCACATCTGCTCTCTTTCAGCCCTGATCAAACCTCCACTCACCTCCACCGTAAGCTCATTAGAAGTCCTCCAGGGAGTTCACTTAAATATGTGTTCAAGAGGACCTCGGCTAGCTTTTTTTTTGCCTCACACACCTCTGACAGATGTCTTTAGCTACAGTCTCCCCTCGAGCAGCTCCTCTCCTCTCTTCTCTCCTCTCTTTCCTTTCTGCTTCGCCTCAAGTCTCTGATTTTTCTCCCGTGTTCTCAAACTCTGGTCGTCTCCCTGGGGGTCAAATGGACAGATGGGCAGCCCTGTCTGAACACACAGAAAAACACGTTTTCTGACCTAAATTCTCCAAAGAGGGCAGTTTAAAGGTGGCCTTGAATAGGCAACCATGGAGTACAAACAGAGAAAAGCAGGATTGAAAAAACAAAGATTCATCCATCCCAAAAAAAATACTTTAAATAAAAGACCTCATCCAGCAGACCAGTCTTCAACCACGACCTTCCACGAAAAAAGGTAAAAACAATAGACCATAGTAAGACCAGAATCAGCACTTATATACCATGAAGAGTTTGATTATTAGGGAGAGATATAGCTGCATTGGATCAACATCCTCAGAAATTTGAATACCATTTAAAGCTTTCAGTTATGATTGGAATGGTCAGTCACTTATAACTAATTTACCATTTCTGTGGTGTGCAAATACAGTGAGGTGTCCAAGTAATCAGCTATAGTGTTCTCCAAGGCAAATCAAGAGCAGACATATCAATAGTGTGACATTGCGTTTCAAAATCTCAAGGTCTCCAACTTGGACTTAAACACCAAGAAAATGGAGCTACAGCTTAATTTAACCCCGCATGTGCACCGGGAGCCCTGTATAGGTTTTGTTCTATGTGCATCTTTTTATAAAAACGGTAAAGTGCTCATTCTTGTTAAATTAGTCACATATTTAAAAACACACATAATAAACCACATTATTTGAAAGGAGATAACTTTTTTTCTGATAGAAAATAACTGCAGATATTGGACAATGGTGCCTGCAGAACTAATCATGTACCCAGGAGAAAATGTTTGCCTTGAACATATTCCAAAAAACATGGCCATGGCTGAATTTGCATGAGCAAAGCAAGACTTTTTTTTTTTTTTCGTTGTCTGGTTGCCATCCACTTCCCTCTATACTAAGAACTGTGGCATTACAACAAGCCTGCTACATAAAAATAACCCAGAACCCCCCCGATTGGGGAAAATATTTGAAGGCAATTTTCCGTTTTTTTTTTTCTTCTGAAAACTAGAAAACACATTTTTCTTATGCCCATGACATTGCTTTTGCATTTGACAAAGCTACCTCACATGTTGGAAAACGTTTTATGATCTAACCTCTTGATAAAACAGTTTGATTCAAACAGACAGTTGTTTGTTCTATCCTGTGTAGACAATTCCTTCAGAATGGAGTAGTACAATTTGTTAATTTATTACTGTAAAGATCGAGAATAAACTTTAACTCTGATGCCAAGTTTTTGCGTTTTGCCATTTATTCACATGCATTTTATACACATAATCATGTAGATGCAAAACACAGTCAGTCCAACAAGTTCAAGAAGCATTTTCAATTGTTCGGTTTAGATATCCTGAGCTATATCTATGGTGTCTTACGAGCATTGACCTACGTTCACAAATACAGTCGATCAACCAGATCCTCAGCGGGTGGTCCATTTGGACTGAGCACTGGGATCCAGTACATCCAGACCCAAGTTTGTAACAGCCTAGCTTTGTAGGCTGTGACAAAAATGAGAAAGGACACACAAAATGGCAGCAAAACTATTTCATTTCTCAAAATCATTTCTACAAAAAATAGTAGCCATGCTTAATAAAAGTGTGAACCTGAGAGGATCAGTGCGGATGTGTGATCTGTACAGTTTAATGCCATCAAACAAACCAAAGGGCAAAAAAAAAAAAAAAAAGAGGGACCGGCAAGGATGAGGACAAAAGAGATATAAAAAGCTTTTTGAGGAGCCGGGCCTTTTGTCTCTTTGGGTCAGAGGAAATGCTCAAAATGCCCATGAAAAGCTTTATCAACACAGCTAAACGGTCACACTGACTCTATGAAACATATGATGTGAACACGTCTTCAAGGGAATTTTTCAAAGAAAAGAAGAGCAAGGTCAAGCATTCAGGATAATCCCAGCTCTGGGGTCTTTGACACATTTGAAATGTGTTGAAAACTCAATTGTGCATTTAAATTTTGGATAAAAGGATCAATCTAACATGATTAAAACAAATGCCATTTCAAACCAGGTAAAACTGGTTTGGGGATTGTCTTTTGGTAATAATTCATTGAGTGCAAAACAAACCTAAAGCATGTATAGCCATGAAGTGGGGCATCAGTGAAAAGTTTAACTAAAAAAACATGTTAGTGGGGCACATAAAAATTGTATGAAATATTTATACTATGATAACCTATTATATCTTAATGGTTAACACCATCACTAGTAAATAATGAAACTACTAATACATAGTAAGGATATTACTCTGTTTTTTATGGTAAAGTAAAATAACATTTAAGAAGTTTAAAAGCACTAATGTCCAGAAACCTATCGAAAAACATTTCTTCATTTGTCATCCCTCGAGAACTCTTTTAATGCCAAGCAGGTATTATGTTTCAGTCATTCTACGGCACGTGCCAGCTGAAGAGCAGGGGAAGTGGTGGTGTAGGTGTTGCTGGAGTTGAGTATGTTTTTGAGAAAGAAAAAAAAAAAAGCAACGATGATGAGAAAGTGTCCTAGCATGCCAACAGCCAGGGGCAGGAATTAAATTCTCATTAGGAGCTGGCTCCACAACCTCTCTCTCCTTGAATCTTTGTGTGTTCATTTACAAGGCACAAATGCAGAGTAGCAAAGGTTTCAGCCAATGATTAATCAACAACAAAAACTATATATACATATTATCATAAACCTGATTTTGTGAGGGGTTTTTTCCCCCTAGATCAATTAAACTTTTTTTAAACATCACAGATGTGGAATTACATTATCACTACAGTTCAGCCTGTGTAAAATGAGACAGACCGGCTGCAGAGGACGAAAGACTCACTAAACAACAGGAAACAAGCCTTTTGCAGTGACCTTTGTTTATAATTTTGGTTTGAAGATTAAAGTTTGCCGGATTTGTACATCAGAAATCCCACTGCCACTTACACATCATACACATTCAATTTGTAAATTTTCCAAAAGCAACTCTTAAGTCTGGATCCAACATATTGATTTTTGTTTTTGTAAGCATAAAATAAAAAGTCTTTATTGAACGACATCAATAACATTACTTTGAACACATAAAACCTCAGATTCAGATTGTCGCTCATGACAAAAGAACAATTTTTAATTATCTGACACCTCAGTAATATTTCAAGTACATTTATACTATCCAATTACAGGTAAACATTAAAATAAATAGCCAATCATAAGGATTCTTTTCAAATAAATAGTGAACTGTTTCATTGTGACAATGAGGGGATAGAGGCCCTAATATGATAAATAATCAAAAATACAGAAGCCGCAGCAAAAGAAATGAACCCCTGGCTTGTTAAGCATATATTTTCCTTCCATTTAACGGACACACACACACTCATACATTCTGTAACTTTAGTTACATCAGGAAAGTACATTTAAGTCGCCCAAATTTACTTGTGCATCAGCCAACGATTATCATTTGTAGACTTCTTCATTAAAATCTAAGACTGGCTTTGTGTAAAGAATGGCGGAGGCCACAATGCTAGAAATGTGTCTGTAACTGCCCGTCTGTATATTAATGTCAGTTTGAACATAGCAGCCGGTGCATGGTTAATTTCAGTGTTACAAAGCAACCAAAAAAAAAAATCAACAGGGCATGCTGGTCAATGAGCTGTGCAAATATGAGCCACATTTATATCTGATGACAGAGCATGGGGAGTGGGGAGGGTGTTGTGACTCCGGTGATGTTGTGTTAACAGCAGCAGCAGCTGAGCTACATGCAAGTGAAAGCTGATAAATATTTCAGAGTGGAAGTCTACACACAGGACAGGCACTGCGGTTCGGAGAACACCCCCGTTTCCTCTATGGCTGGGTGTACCTCAGGTGGAAGCAACCTCTATTATTAATATTCACTTTTTAAGTTGTTTAAGTCTGTGATTATATGTCATCCAACAATAACTACAGCATGTGTGTGAGGGGATTTGGTTTTCCTTATTAAAAAAGACATATCTAAAAAAGAAAATCTCTGTTGATCAGATGAGCTGAAATAATGTCAGTTCCTCCACCAAATAAAGCTTTAAAATCATTTTAACCCATAAAACACAGAAAAAAAAACATATTGTAGAGGAATCCACGTACTGTAGCTCTGTGTTCGGCAGTTCAGGGTGGATGTTGGCCCACACCTGCTAAATATTTTAAGAATGTACGAGTACTGGTGTCTTCCCCAAATTCATTTAGTGGTGGTGGGCCATGCCGGCTTGGAAACTGTTGTAGAATTTATTTTTTTAAATTCAATAACTCTGAAAAATACACCTGTAAAAGCTCTGCTTGCTTGAAAGAAGTGCCTACTGGCTGTAATGGTCACATTTTGGGGCAAGAACAGCTCTTTGTGTGTGTGTCAAGTTTGAGCATCAGATATTCACTGATACCTGAAGCAATTACCCATCGGCAACATCTCCCTTTTCAATGCTCCCCCCACCCCCTCCCTCCCGTGACCTCCTTCACTCATAAGGAGAGGCTTTCAGCAGAAAACGCTGGCCTTTAATAATTTGTACTAGTGTGTCACCGCGCTGGCTGTGAGCACTCTCTGCTTTTAGATACGGCTGCTGATCCAACAAGCACGCCTAAAGTCTGTCAAGTTAAATGCACGAAACAAGCGCGACAGTCTGAAAAAATGAGTTGTCAGCAAAATAATCAGCTGACGAGAAAAGGAGACGTGTGAAAATGATATGACAAAAAAAAAAAGCGCACGAGTGAGATGGGTTAGGGTCCCGAACGAGTAGATGGTGAGATAACGGGCCTCTGGGCGGTGACATGCACACATAAAGCCCAATGTGAGTGAGTTTCCAAAAGAAATGTTAAAGAAAAGTTGATTATTTCTTTATCATCCTCTCACAATGTGATATTTTTCGTCACTCTGGGCTTTTATCTATTCATTTTTTCATCTACTTGTGGTCTTTTGACATGCTGAGAAGCCACCATACATGCTGCCGGGACTTCATCCAACTGGTCATCGTGCACACAAATCGTGAGATTCACTAATATTTTTAAGCTTGTTCATTAGTGTAAAGCAGAATGAACCTTTTTGGCAACAAGACATTTCCTGAACTCCACCAGGATCCCTGTAGGCGAGAGGATCTTAAAGTCTATCTTTGTGTTTTTGTTGATGTTTGCTGCTGACCCGTCTCAACAGCAGTCGGTCACTATCGTCAAGTTTTGAACGTTAAAACAGCTGAAGCAACACCTCAGGTCCCCAGTCCATGGCGGTCTGAGCCACGGCGAACACGGCTGCCCCGAGCGTGGCCGACAGCCCCCACACTGCCATTTTCACCATCCTGTTCCCCGTCCCCCACAGCGGTCCTCGCTGCCCGGGCAAGGCTGCTTCAAGGCCTGAGTGTTGAGAGGCTACGGGCATAAAACAAGGGGGGAAGGGGTCAGACTGTGGGGAGAAAAACACAAAGGGGCAAGAATCGCTAGAATGCTCAAACCAGAACCAAAGCACAACCACGCTGCCTGTCATGGTGGGATTGTAGGCAGAGAGGGGAATGAGGAACAGGAAAACACCAGGCGTGAAGACAGAAAGGGGACAGCGTACCATTACTGTACAGCAAAAAAACCCAATTAATAATTTAATGACCTACACAAAAACCAGAAAGCCAGTTTTAACTAGAGGGAGCAAATTGATCATTCCAAGTTTTCTTTGAACGCAATATACAATAATGCCAACAAGCCAGGGGGAGATTTTTTTTTGACACCCTTGAAAATAGTACAATTGAAAAAAATAGTACAAAGATTCTTTATCAATTATGATTAAGAACATTTTTTTATTTAGCATATTTAACTAAACATTATTAATTTAATTTAAAAAAACACATTTTGATTTTGATGAAAAAATTAATTTAAAAAATAAACCAGAATCAGCCTAAGACTTGAGGTTTGTGGGGTAACTGTTGTGTTGTTAAAATTATTTTTCCACTTTCATTGAATTGAATAAGTGAAGCACGAATAAAAAACAGATTCATTCTTCAGTAAAACTAATTAATTGAAGCCTCAAAAACGACCATGAAAGTAAATGAACTCGAAAACACAGCAATAAATGAATGCTGTAACCTTCGATGAGGTTTAATTAAATACAACACTGAGACTTTTAAGTTGGATTCTTTCTACAACATGTGTTTCTTAAGTTTTAATTTATGATTTGGTCCCATTCTAGATTGTTGACATAACCATATAATCCAGCCCCTGTGACCAATGGCTCTAAAGGCTGGAACTGTATGGGACCTGTGTAGAAACTATACCCCACCTCTCACCCAAATGAAAAACGTGGCTAAATTTACCAAAGGATGCGTAACAACTGTACAAGTGTGCCGAGCAGTTTAAAAAAAAATTTGTATAAAATAAATGTAAAAAAGAAAATCCAGCCAAATCCTTTACCCTTCAAACAGAAGCTTGTATTAATACTGTTTGATGAAACTGCAAAAATTACAGAATGAAAACACACTGAAAAATCCTGCTCACAAATTTTCTCAAGAAAAGTTTTCATTGAATAACATTTTGGGAAAAGGGAGGGCTGTCTAAATCAGTTTTTTCTGTAGGTCCAATGTGCTTTTCATTATGTACTAAATGCATTGGCCTGCAGGAATAATTCATCTCTTTGTTTTCATTCTCTGGCATATTCAAATCCACCCTTGATTGGTCTGATGGGGGTGCTATAACATTTTGTTTACTTGTTATAGATTGGCTCATAGGGGGCAGTGGTTAATGTTGTCTTGTTCTCAAGAATCATGTTCCTACTGTGACCACCAGGAACAGCGAGGGCAGAGGAGAAGCCAAGCATTTTGGTTTGGAGCTTCACAGTCAATGTAAATGTATTGTTGCTGCTTAAGAGAAGAATGGTGTGAGAACACACACTTACCTCAAGCATTTACAAGTGTGCCTGCACTTTCTACAGGTCTGGAATGAACCTTAAGAATTTTGTAGGATATTGCAGTCACTGTTTTTACCATTTCGGGAGGCACTCGATCCCTGGGCCCGGGTGAGGCGCTGGAGGACAGAGTCTGGCCGCTGGTGGAGGGTGGAGAGCTGAAAAGTCTGGAAAGTGCTGATGGACAGGCTGGGGAGAAAAAGCAGAAGGAGAGCGGGATGGAATGGGACAGTTAGCTAGCGATGAAAAACAGTTCAGTCTAAGGTAAAGCATGAACATCTGGATTGACATGATGGACTGACTGATAAAATGATGGATAAAGACAGGTGAGGAGCAGAAATGGAAACATTCTGCCAACTCAGTAGTTCCTGTGTATAGGAAGCTCCTGTATGTGTAGAATCTTTCACTGTGTCACTGAAGGCCTTGTGTCACTTCCTGCTGTAAACAATGACAGTAAGCTACATTCAAGGACGCTGACAGACAAAAAAAGGACTAATAGCTGTGGATACCCAGATTTAGAGTTTGCTCAGCTTTCTGAGGTTTCCCTCACAATAACAAGGAAAATGGAAACACATCCTCCAAGTGAGCAGTGCGTATTACCAGCACCTATTGATGGCAGCCTGAAACTATTTTTAGGGCACCCCCTTTTGGTTGCTCCAGGAATCCTTCCACCATTACCACCTCAAATATTGTTTTTGTGGCAACCTTAGAGATGTGTTTTAATTATTTCACTAAAAACAAACATCAGCTTTGATTAATAATTTCTTAAGCAGAATTAGTTAACATTAATCATTTATAACTTCTGAAAAAGTTATGCAACTTCTCTTTTGTATGCAATAATACATTTAATATTAGATTACAGATTTTAAAAAGTAAAAGGTTTCACCTTGTAGTAAGAAAAGTGCCTTTGGCTTTTAAAATCTAACACAGAGTTTGTATTGACAGTGAATAAGACTCCAATATTAAAGTATTGACCATGAGATTTTTACTACGTTAAGAATGCACAAGAAACCTTAGTAAAACACTTAAGAAATGTCTCAAAATAAAAGTACAAATGCAAAAGCAAACAAATATTTATATGAAGCTGTAGCCTGAAGCGAAGCAATAATCTTTGTAGCATTCGTTAATTTGAAACAACATCCCATTTTCCATTTTTATTTGGATGTCAGAACAAGGATCTATGTAACTGACCACACTGAGCAAGAACAGCTGGATTGCCAACAGCTAGAGAGCAGAAATATGATAACACAGGTAAATCATGCTGTGCAATGTACAAGGGCTAGTTTTATGGACTGACGGGTTGAGGTTGCTCCTTCAAGTCTCAGGCATTTAAAGCAAATGCATTTACCCATATATCTATCCATTCAAGCATTTTATGAACCGCTTATTCGCAGATGGGGTCACGGTGGGACTGGAGCCTATCCTCGGGCAAGAGGCGGGGTACACCCTGGACGGTCTGACAGTCCATTGCAGGACCATACTCATATATTTATCTAGGAAATAACTCCCTCTGTAATAACCATGGAAGTGAGTCTATACAGGACAGCAATGCAACAGTTTGCATGAGAGTGAGAGGCAGCTACCCAGAGAGGAGTGGACTCTCACAGGTGGATTTATTTATTTTTTTAAATCAGCTTTGCAAAAGCGATTGTGAAGTAGCTTCTTCAAACTGTAGAAACAAAAATATATTTAAACCAACTTCACAGGTTTCATGGGGTGTCACTGAATCAGGCTCGAGTTGCAGCTGGTTGTAGTACCCGTACAAACACTATCATCATTGTCATAAACAATAATAATATCAGCTACACCTCAACAGGTTTTTTTCCTGAAATGAAATGGTGCTATAACAGTGAAGAGATGCGAACCCTCTTCAATGTTTTCTTTTCAGAATTTCTAGGAAGCTTTTCCTCTTCTTAATATCATGGCCATCAATTTCATATATATTATTCAAATACTGGAACAGCTGCAAAGGGTGAAAACAATTATCTATCCCAATTTTATGCAAGTTGAAGAACAAAAAAAGTATGAACTTTTTTTTAAAAACTTCCCTTTACCTCTTGCGGGACTGTAGTGCAGCCCGTTTGGCGAGTAGCGATGGAGGGTACTGGTCAAACAGGTCCTGGGCCTGGCCAATCAGAAGTTCATATGGGAGATCCTTGGGTATGTGGGAGAGGAGGTGGTGCACCATGGCCATGTCACACTCTGTCCGTTTCACCTCCTTTTCTCTATGCAAGACAATCTGGGGAGGAGATGGAGCTGGTTTATAGATTTTGATTTATTAGATACCCCATTTTCAGCCGATTCTGGTGCTACAACCACAGCACAGAGAGAACACAGCAGCCAACAGGCAGATGTAAAGTTAAAGCCCCGTGCTGTGCTCTGAACTCAGCCTTGGAGGAAACATGACTACATTCCACTTTGTTGTTTCACACACTTCAAACAGAGCCCTCCCTCTGCCCGCCCCTAAATACACACACACACACACACACACACACACACACACACACACACACACACACACACACACACACAGAGAGAATATACTAACCATCTTCACTCACAAACAAGGACAATTTGCATAGTCGTACTCACTAATAAACATCCACAAAGTCTTCCGTTAAAAAAAAAAAGCCTCTTCAAACATAAATAGACCAGTGAAGAACAAAAGGATGCATGTATAAAACAAAATTAAATTATCTCCACGAACACAGTCATGTTTATAATAATTAATAATAAAGCAAAAAATGTTTGTGCTCGTCTCTAAAACCCCTCATAACCATCAGCTCTCCTTCAACTTCTATCCTCCATCTGTTCCTCCTTCTCTCTGTACTCCTCTTCCTCATCTGTTCTTTAGGAAGCATCTAATTAGCTAGCCTGGTGACTTCACAGTGCTCTGCCTCAGTGTGAGTATCAGCATGCATGTGTGGCAAAGAAGAATTTATGTGTCCCAGATTAATAAGAAAGCCATCCCACTGACTCTTCTGATTGCGTCTTCACACCCTTACCGTAGCAGCGAGGTAGATTGGCATCAGTGGATGCGACGCCAGGAAGAAGTCGTACAGTCTCAGGGTGTGTTTGAAGTCTGACAGGACGTGGCCGTACCATGTGATCAGCCAGGAAAGTGCAAAGATGGTTCCAACTTCCGCTCTAAAGAGAAAGGGCAAAGTAACAAACAGGTGAAAACACAACAATCCACAAATGCTAAAGAAACACTTTTTTCATATCTGTATTTTAATCATATTTCATTTAAAGCTTTTTACTTTTTCGGCTGATTTATTTTTTCATGACTTTTGTTACAATATTTTGACAAGCACCTTAAAAGGTGAAGGGTGTGAAACTTCAACCTGTAAAAGTATCCTCCCTTTGATTGTCTGTTTTAGCTTAGATCGGCGCATAATCAGAATCTTTAACGACATTAGATCAATAGGCATAGATCGACCGTTACATTACAATGGCCTTCAGGTAAACATAGTAACAATATTCATTCACATGTCCACCTGGGAAACCTTTTGTCCAGCTTTCAATTGGATGTCACTCTTGATACCTCCCTAAACTATAAATCTACTTCGGAATAAACTCATGAAAGCCACATTCTGATTAAAAGATGAGGATTTTAAGATAAAAAATATATATAGTATCCTGGAGAAGAATTAAATGAAAGTGAAAAAAATAAATAAAATAGCCACATGATTCCACTTATTTTTTTTACATTTTGGTGAGAAAGGTCAAATATATCAAGGAACAGAGAGGGGAATAAGACAGTCCCCACATACATCAGAGAAAATGTCTCAGTAAATCTGAGGGCCATTTATCAAAGACATTTACACTACGCTCCATGCCTGTGGTGGTCTTCCAGCATACATGTAACTGGTTATCTAAAGATGCCTGACATCCAACATTTTGGTACCTTTTCATCAACATCTCTTGATACTAAAGACATACAAGTAATTACAAAGCCAAACAAGGCACAATCTGGATTTAAACCAAATGCAAAAAGAGATCTCAATACCTCAGAGAACACTTCCTGATTTTCAGCAAAAGGCAATTAAAAAGAAAAACAATGGAACATTTTTACTACTATCTATATAAAAAATATATATTTAAAAAAAACTGTTGCACCACTCCACTAAGTCCCGGCCTTGAAAAAGGAGCTGTAGCTGTTCCAGGTAATTATTCATTAAAGGATGCATTTTTTATTCAAAAGATTATATGGAAAACATAATCTTTTATGTACATATTCCAGTTTTTGTCTAAATATTGTTTCACAAGGTCTAGGTCCATTAAAAGCCAACAGTGGTAAAATAAAAATAAAAAACAGAAGAAAGGGGACTTTTTTTTACCCACAAATACAAAAAAGATTATAATCAAATATTTAGTGAGTAGCACATCCTTGTGGGACCTCCTTGTATGTTTTAGCTCTATAAAGTCACTGGGACATGTGTTATAGGAGGAGAGGAAAGTGTGGCTGAATTATGGGAGAAAGAGATATGGGGAAGAATGATGAGAGAATGAAAAGAAAGGAAGTAAAAAGTAAAAGCAGCAATCCAAACTGTGTTTATCCTGCTGACTGTCTGTCAGAACAATGTCTTCTTTCTACAGCTTTGTATCTTTGTAATTGCGACAGACAGAACAAACTGACTATATACACAACAGACTGACTAGAATATGTTCCCAGACCCACTCTTTACTGGTTTCATGTAAACAAGCACTATTAAAAACTTTGGCAAATGAAAACAGAAACTTGGTGGCACAAAAAGGCCCCAAGAGCTAATGGATAATGTGATGGAGCAAATTTTTTTTTTAAAGCAGTTTAAGTTAAAACTCTTTCTCTCACTGTAATCAACTGTATACAATTATTGAAAGTAAGCTCTGTGGCGCCCTCTAGTGGCTTTTAAGTCAAACCTAAACATGTGCTTTTACGGGATTTTACCTGATCATAAAGTCATGTAGTTCTACATCAACCTGTTCCAGTATCGGCATTAGATAGTTTAAAATGTGCTTGGTGCTGTCCATGGTGGGGTCCATGAAGTCCCTGCACAGAGAGAAGACGGGCAGGATGTTAGATATATTAACCAAATGGGTCTTTCATTGATGAAACATTTCAGCATAATGACGCGTTTCAGCATACAACCTGAGGTGATAATTGGACAGTTTGTCCAGCATGCCTATAGCCATCCTCTCCCCAACCACCAGCAGCAACGTGACAGCGACATCATGGTAGCCTTGGTAGTAATGGAGCTGAGTGTTGCTTTTCAGCACTTGAAGTATGATATCAATTAGCTGCTCCTGAAGCACGGCCCTCTCTGCCGCCGGCATCCCTACGACACACACACAGAAAACAGCACATCCACACCATGCAAACTACAAAGATAGAAGCATGGGCACTTTTGTCTCATTGAGGTTTAACACAAGTTATGTGACTCTATTTATGCCCAAAACTTCCAACAGATCTCTAACTGCACAACACATGGGAACACAGATATGAGATCTCTCAAGGGTTCGCCTTCACAAATATTGTGTTTACATATACACACACAAATATTTAGGATATTTGCGTTGTTTTTGTTGTTTTTTTACAGTATTTCAAGGAGAAATAATGTTACTAGTCTAACTTATCAGCCTCTCAAATTACTTTTGGTTCACAAATCGGATGGAAATCAAGGAAATCTGGCAACATAAGTCTAGTGGAGCTTTAACATGGCTAATTTTTTAACCAACTTTATCAGATAAGTCACAGTGTTGCAGTTTGTACAGAGGTGAAGACTGATAAGTGGCACAATGAAAAACACGTCACTATCAGCAAAGATAACACACATATTATAACACAAATATATGCAGTGTGAGGCTACCAGTGGGGAAGCGCTTCATGGACCTCCTGACATCCAGGACTACTTGGTTTAAGTCCTTGTGGTTTTCCCTCACATGTCGACCTGCAGCAGAAATGACAATGCGGCCTTTATCACCGCTATCAGCACGGCTTACACAAGCCACACACGGCATGGCGTGGTGGTGGTGGCTGAAAATTAAATAACACCAGCTGCAACACATCGTTCTTTTATCCAGTTATACTAACCAGGTTTGTGTGGCAGATCATAGACGTTAATGTTCAGTAATTTGGGCCACACTTTTCTCCTCAGTTCATCAGTGAGCAGACCTCCTTTACTCACGGCAGCTCTCCTCAGGGTCTCAATGTCCACCGGATCTCTGTTGATTAGGAAGTAACAATTCCTTCATGTTAAAAAAGAAAGTAAAGAACATTACACCTGCCCCTGAATCACTTTTGTTTTCCCAAACTTAACATGCTGAATCCCGTATTTTGTTTATCATATTTTATATTCTAGAGCAACCAACAGACAAAATTCTTGACGTAGGTAGCAGAACTATACTTAAAGCTGAGGAAAACATTTCCATTCATGGTGTACAACATTTATCTCTAAATTATTTTGTTTCCTTTACATCGACCAGGCATTACAAACGATGTCTGATGAGATCACATCCAAACATCTCTGCTGACCAGATATAAAAAAGTCGTTTCTTTTTTTTGCTGTAAAAAATTTCTCATGCAGTCTAAATTGCTTCCTGACACCACGGGCCTCGTGGATCTTGCTAAGCTACTCCTCTGGTCCCACATGATTCTGTCTCCAACCGGGACATTTTTTTTTAGCATATAGCAATGAAGGTCACTGTCTGCAGGTAAATGCATACCATCTATTTGTGGAGCAGGAGATTGAACAATTAGTGTAAGAGGATCCCTCTTACACCAGTTCCCTATAGCTGAAGGGGATACTTCATAAAAATAGAGAGCTACATACTACTCATGATTCTAACAAATAGGAGATTTTCTAGGGGAAAGTTCTAAAGTAATGAAGACACAATATACTATATATATAAACCACTGTATCATCCACTTGTGCCATATCTAACATGTTTAAGAGCTGTATTTTAGCTGAGAAAAAGATAACTTTACCTACCAGTACTTTGAGTAGAAAACCTGATCACCAGCAACATACTTTAAATCAGGGTTATGCCACCTTTTAAAATGTGTTTCTATTGTATTATTTGTCTTTGGTTTTTAAACTACAACTTTTTTTAAAATCAAGATAAAAGGTATAATTATAGCATTGCTGAAATACACAGCAGTTCAGTGAGGCAGGAATAACAGCACATAGGACTGAATGGGGCATACCTCCTTCCAACACAACCAGTTAAACATCACAAAAGAAAGAATTAGAACATAAAACTGAATATGTAGCCATTCCCATTAACTCGAAACGTGCATCCTGCTGATCTGTTTGGATCTGTTGAAATAAAAATCATCATCATTACTATGAAATGTCTCTTCCCGGATACTGATTAAAGGCGTGGTATTGTGTCTCTGAGCCACTGCCTAAGGGAAGGCAGGCAGCAGCTTTCCATCTTAGCCGCATAGCTCTCGTGGCGAGGTCAAAGGAGAAATTAAATATGTGGCACACGGCTGGTGCCGATTAACCTCCATGCCTAGTGATATTTTCACCTGTTCAAAGCCTGGTGGATATCGGTCAGCTTCTGTTTCTTCCCACAGTCTGGTTCTGTGGAGAAGAAAAAGTAAAGGTCAGATTAAAAGATGAGATGGAGAAACAGCAGAATGACTTGAGTAATTAAACAAAACATTTGCTCATGAATGGAGTGACAAGACTTCTGACTGTAAGACTAAAAGGACCATTTCCGTATTTGCTCTGCTGACAGCTGGAATTTTCTAAGTTGTCCAAGTTCACACGCTGTCCAGTCTAGCTGTCTGACTGCCACGCAAGCAACATTTGGAGATCAAGTTTACTGAATCGTGTTAGCAAAAGGACCGTGGGCAATAAAACGCAGGCTGTTTAAACTGAAAACCATTTCAGATTCACATCTGGTCTGTCACCTGGCTACAGAAATGGCATAACTGTTTGTACATTTGAGGTAGCTGCGGTATAAGACCGTCCCGCTTTCCGTTCGTACAGATACTATTAATATGTATGTAAATGTCAGTTTAAAAAAAATAAAACAATGATTTGTGTGCTGAATCTAAAAGTCTTTATTAAAACAGTAGTGTTAGCTACCTGTGGTTGACTTACCTCTTGTGACAAATTCATTTTCATTCACCCCAACTCCTCCATTTTGTTTCTTCCTCTTGTGTTTTCTCATACCTTTTAATTCATTAAAAATGGAGACGTGACAGTGGAATACTAAATTAAAAGGGGGAAAAGTGACAGTAAATAGGTAAAAGCGTTTATATTATTCACAGTAAGTAAGCTTCGGTCATCAGCTATCGTCAACTGATTCAACCTAACCGGAACTTTTTTTTGCACTCAGATTGGACAAAATATCCACGTGATCAAATGTACCTCTATCATTGGCCAACTCTGGACAAGCATTGCAACCTAAATTGATTGTAGTTTTTTTTCAGTTCAGAGGGATTTTGAACACGTTGGTTTAATATAAATACTAAGATGGCACGGCAACTAATTTCAGTTTTCCACAGAAAAGTCCTGTGAGTCAGGATATTATTTATGTTTTAGTCTATAAACAGAATTACATCAAATGGCACTGATTATCAGCACTGGAAGAAAATCCCATTCTGGGCAAAATCAGTAATACATTTTTAAATATCCACAAATATAATTCTAAATCATTTTAGTATCCCTACTGTAAATTAAAGTAAATCGGACTGAATTAGTTATATTAAATTGTTTGAATATACATCTAAATCAAACATATTCTAAGTGTTCAGACATAGACAGTAGATAATTCAAATCTATCAATTGTCACAACAGATTAATATGATTTTCTCAGGTGAAAGCCTTTCTCCAAAATTCTGAACCTTTTTCATGAGTGCAGCATTGGTACACTCTTCAAGATGAATAAAGTATTTATCAATCAATCAATCAATCAATAAATCAAGACCAGATATCTTTGAACAAAATATGGACATGCCTGGACAGATACATAAAGTGATGGAAAGTTTGATCATCAATTTAATGAAATACAAAGGAAAATAGATCTCTCACAGTAATGATGATGATATTTTTCTTTTATCTCTATCTTATTGACTGTTTATTTGTTGTTGTTCATTCTATGTATTCTTAAATTACCCACGCCATATTGGCAGCAAGCTATAACATCTCCAATCTGATTGGTTGTATATTCTGTCATTTTTTAACATTTCTTGCAGATTTTATTCTTTCCACAGAGCACTGATCAAAAGATATGCAAATATAAATATCGTGGGGACTATAATGATTTGCAGGCATGTATGGAGGCATCAGCATCAGGGCCAGTTAATCCAGGAAACTGAAAACATTGATAAAGAAAGTTTGAAACTGCTCTGGATCCTCTGGAGTTGAATGAAAGTCCAATGAGGCACAAATTGGTGAGCCTAAGAGACATTACTAAACACCTTCTACATAACACAATGAGAAAATAATAGCTGTGTTCTTCCTAATCTTTCCTTACATAATTTTCCACCTGTATTTCAATAAAAAAAAAGATAAAGGAGTTCTTTCCTGCTTGCTACTAGAGGGATAATGCAACAGCATCGTACAATGGATAGCTCAGATGTCTATCAATAAGGACATCTGAGCTCTTAATTTTGAAAGACCACAAAATAAGAAATATGTGAAGTTGTGAAGAGCAAAGACTGGCACTACTGTCATGACTAAAATGGGTCCAAAGGAATCCTTTTGGGACATTTAGACATGTTGAATATCATCATATTTGTTTTAAAATATCCAAAAGGTTGCTTTTTTTCTCTTCTTAGACTTAAAGCAGTCTAATCCTTTAAATCCAATGGATAATAGATCTATCAAGAAACAGGTACTCATCCGGAATGTGATAAATGTCATGTCTCGATAGGGGGATGTCTGCTGGAAACACAGAACTGGCAACCGTCCTGACAAATGCACCTTGAGCTTCAGCAGTGGTGAAACGCCTTGTTTATGACCACCACTGACTGGGCACAACTTTCGGGGGTTGGAAGGTGTCCTTCCACTGTTCGCTTAACCCTCGTTGGGAGGTGACGGAGAGGACCAGAAATAAAAGAAAAAAAGAAAATAGCAGCCATGTCGTGCAGGTAGAAGCTGCGCGACTGAAGCCGCGGAATGAGCGAGAGGGCTGAGATGAGAGGGCCCATAACCCGCCGGAGGAGGACGACCATCTCCGGGGCCGGCGGCGGGGCGCCGGGCGTCAGGCAAGCCGGCGGGAGCAAGGGGCACGACGGCGGGACCAAGCCTCCGCAGTACCCCGCTAAAGCCAAACCGGCGGCGGCGGCCGGCGTTTCCGAGCACGCCAGCCACAACGGGAAGGCGGACAGAGATGTGGGGATGCCGGGGAGGCAGCAGCAGCCCCCCAACAGTCCGAGGAAGCACCGAAATGCAGTGGAAGATATCACCGACAGACTCAGGTAACCGCCGACTTTAAAACGCCAGCGTTACATCCGGAAGTCCGGAAGAACTTCTCTTTTTTTCTTCTAATATTAGTAGGAAAGACAAATTATATTTCCATTGCAGTGGATCATTTTCTGCCCCCCCTTTGACACAGTGTAAAGAAATGTGCTGAGTGGCTCTCATTTCAACACATGAAATAAAATGTCAAAATATCCATTTGTTTCAGATTTACAACAAAAAAAAGTGGCATCCTTATCACTGCTCTCATTGATGAGCTGTCATCTATTGGGCTCAAACTCAAAAATGTGACCAGCAGCTTTAGAACTCAACGTGTTTCTGTCTATGATGTGTCCTCATTTTCCTTTGACATGGACAGCAATATACTGGAAATGCTTACTTCTGCTATAACTATTATATCCTCACCTATTTTTCCTCTTTGACATTCTACCCTTATTATATGTCCTTTCATCCTTCCTTCTCCCTCCTTTTTCCTTATATCTTGACCTTTTTTCTTTATCTTTACATCACATTTGATTGTGTAGAAGTCTTGACTGATAAATAACCTCAAATTTCACAATTCAGTCAGAGATGAGTACTTTTTCACTTTCACAAGTCTTAACTTGCTTGATGTCATTGTTAAAACAAACATTTGGTCACTGGATATGATTAATACATTTTAAAAAGTCCATCAGAGAAAAAATATATGCTTATCATGACTCACTACTGCTTTCCCCAGTTGTGTTAGATTAAAACGACCCAATTTAAGTCAAACTGTAATGCTAGCATGCATACAAACTCAAGGTTGACATTAATTCTGGGCTTTAGAAGTTTGATATGGCGCAACTATGTTTTAGAAAGCAGTATGAAACTGACTTTTGTTTCATGTTGAATTTCGTTGAGTTTTTTCTTTTAAGACACAAAGGTGCCTGAAGAGTTTGGTTTACCCTCAATATATGAAAGTCCTGTCTGTGTCTTTTCTGTTTTGCTCAGCTGTCATGTTCTTCAGGAGTCGCTCCTGAGCTCAGCCAGCGGCTACAGCAACTACAGAGGAATCCTCAACTGGTGTGTTGTCATGCTGGTGAGTAAGACGGTGCATCCATAGAGAATACAAAATGTCCTGTTCTCTCAACTTTCACGACCTCAAACGTCCAGCGGAGTCGGTGGTTTTCATGGTTTGCTTTAGCAACGAAAGCAAAAGCCCACGTTTGTTTGCAACAGCTAATTTCTGTCACACTTTGGCTTGTGCTGTCTGATATGTTATCTCGTGTAACATAAGCAGGATAAACCCATGTGCACACGCAGTTATTGACTCATCAGTTTTGCTGTTGCCCTGTTTGTCGTTTCAATTATTTTAACATTATAATTTTGCAAAGTGCAGGAAAGGTTTCATTTGAGATTTCAAGAGTGTATATTTTTATTAAGGGTTTTTTATGTGCTTTGACATATGGTTATGCATTTTGAGCACATCAAATATATGCGTGCATGAAATGTGGCTGATATGGCTCTGTGACAGATTTCTGACTCACGTATACAGGAAAAAGGCAGGGCAAAGAGGAGAGTGCTACATTTAACCCATCTCTATTAAGACTATGAAACTGTTTGAATTATTTCATTGTTGGCAATTGGTTGCAATACTCATATGTAATTATTCAAAGAGCTCAGATCAAGGGGGCAGCAGTATTTCTGAAAAACTATTGGGTTGGTGGTCGCTTAAAAGAATGAAAGAAGAGTTGAAACAGCTCAAGAAAAGCCTGAGATGGAATTATTCGAATGTCCTGACAGCTAGATTTTTTTTGCTCTATTTCTATTTTTACATTTGTTGTTCTCCAACTGAGCTAAAAACAAATGAACTACATGCTAAATGTTACACAATCCTACAAAGAACCAGCCTACGTTTTCACTGGATCTCAGCAGGATCTGATCACACCCCTAACTGGTGGGACGACCTAAGATAAAGACGTCTTCCCTACAGAGTGAGAACAAACACTTTTGAGGGAAAGATCTCCTGCCCCACAGTGCAGGCACATAATGAGCTCACACAGGGTTCAGCCATACTGCTGACCGCTTCTGTGGGTGAATATAAGTTGTTTTTTTGTGTTTATCCCCAGTAGTGTTCGGAAGATCTTAAGAAAAACTCTGGAGCACACAAAAAAAATCCTACTGTTGTGAACATTTCGCATTATTCTGCTCATACATCCTTGACTTATTTTTTCTTATATATAAGAACATTGGTTTGGTGTTTTTTCCACATCAAATTTAATTTCGCAGTTCTGTGACAGGATAAGGGGGCCATTTATTGGTTTGTATTGCCGTAGTAACCACAGGCTCTGCTTTGTGGTTGTTGGCTGTCACTGCTCACTTTTTATAGTTAGCCTTTGGGATTGCACTGATTAACTGTGAAGTGGAACCACAGGGCCTTAAATGTATTTATCAGTCAGAGCAAACACACAGAGCTGAGTTGTTTCATTTGTCCTGCAGTGAATTTTTCTAGAAATTAAAGATTGTTTGTGTTCTTACTCTATCTATGATCTCAGCACTGTATAAATGGCTTTACAGTATTTTAATTGGATAAAGTACATTTAGTCCTTCTTTAAGCTGCTGTAATCTTTCACTGTCTATAAAAGAATATTGTGGAAAGGCACCTTGATTTCAATCTCTTAACTCAAACCAATTTGTTTTGCATTGTAGAATTAGTCACTAACAAGACACTCAGATTTTTTAGAGTCAGAAACTTGCCCTAACACATCTGTGCTAGCTGCCCATGATAACTAGAATTGTGCTTCAGAACACTGTTGTTTTTACAAGTAGGTCTCCATGTAATATTTATGAGAAACGGTATTGGGTTATGCGTGGTTCTGAGTAGATGGGGGTGTGTTTCCTGCATCACTTCACAGCTTCTGCTGAATTGCAGTCAACTAAACATTTGTTTTGTTGAAATAATGACTAACCAGGTCATTTTTCTTTTTATCTCTGGGGAAATATTTGATCACCCTGCTTTCAGAGGGACTTGTTTCCCATGTTACCTGTGCAGGTCCACAGGTTCAGGAAACGTCTCCTCTTCTACTTCTGCCATAAATAATTCTGATTAATCTCTCTCATCCTCGTTGAGGCTGGGGCCTATCCCAGCAGGAAACGGGTGAGAGGCGGGGTACACCCGGGAACAGGTCGCCAGTCCATGATTCAGATATTTTTAAATGTAATTGCATAAGATCTTAAAGAAATAGCTCTTTTAAACAGGAAGCTCATTTAACATTCCCCCTGCTCAGGTGGGTTTTTGCTGCCTTAAAGTCTCCAGTAGCTAACTTTGCACACTGACTTTTCTTTGAACGGGGATGATGAAAAAATGACCGGTTCACTTGGAGTATTGCAAAATCCAATTTTGCAATGCTCTTTCTAAATGTTTTCGAAAGGCCTCTGTCCCATTCATTCTCTTTCTACATGACTACCTCTTGATCATGTTGAAGGGTACTGAGGCAAAGGTCACTGGTGCGGGCGACATGCATTGTTGGATGAAAACCACATGGCTGTGGGGGTCTTGCCAAATCAAAGTGCATAATAATGTTGGCATGGACTTGCTAGATGCTGCTATTAGCCCTATTTACCTACCGTCTTTGTAACTGTGAATATCCATTCCCCAAAATGATCTAAAATATGTTAAACATAAGACCCACGAATTGTTAGAGTTGAGTGTGTAAGAAAGTTTATCATGCTGAGATGAAGCTGGAATTGAACCTTGGACAGAAACCTTTTGCAGAACACGATCATAAACCACTTCAGTTGACGCTTTGTAGCAGAGACAGGATGTGATCACAGTCCATGTGTAATAGCAGCTGGAATATGTTACTAAGATTAGACATGAAACAGATCTGATCCAGTCCAAAAGATATGAAAGATGGGAAACTTTTCCGCTGCCGATTTTGGCTTCTCTCCGCAGTCCGCCTGTGTCTGTGTGTCTGTTAATAGCTACTGTTTGTTCTTCTTAGGTTGTCATACTGCCCTGGCTTTAACAGTTACTGACTAAAAAAGGCAGTTCAGCTTTAGAATAGCAGAGGTTGCTGAAAGGGAATTAAGGCAGATTTAAAGCTAAGCAGTTTCATTGGAAGGCCAGATGCAAAACAACCTCAAGCTCTTGAATATCTGTTCTGTATGACCCGCATTACCTCATATTTGCTTCTGCAAAAACATTTTTTCTTGATCTGCAGGTTCTCAGTAATGCACGTCTCTTCTTGGAAAACATTATAAAGTGAGTATGCATTCACACATAAACCAATATTTCTTCTTATTTATGAATGGAAGAACATGCATTTGACATCACACCAGCTTTCCCATTTTTTCACCAGCTGCTAAACTGATTTCATCTACAAGAGTTTGATGTAGGCCACTTCTGTTAGTTTTAGATGATTAAAAAAACACATATTTTTAAATAAGTTTCGTTAGTTTTTTCTCCATTTACTTCCTCTCATCCATCTTTTAATCCATAGTTACTCCATTCATTGTGATTATCAAAAGAAGGCGAAGTTCTGTAACTTGCTAACACAACTAACACAACAGGGCCACCAGACTTTAACCTCTGCCTCACCACAAAGTAGCTATTAATGCAGCCTTTTATTGAAAAAATGCTGTTTGCATCATTGATCCTAATTTCACTTCTCTTCTTACAGGTATGGCATTTTGGTAGACCCCATTCAAGTAGTGTCGCTTTTCTTAAAAGACCCCTACAGCTGGCCGGCAGCTTGCCTAATCATTGGTATGACGGTTTGATTTGATTAAACTGATGTAAATGCGATGTGAAAGTCTTTGTTAGTATTTGTATTAGTAATGAATGTGAATTTTGACTGATCAGATCAGAAGTAGACAGCTCTAACTCCTTTAGCAGAAATCTCACGATTAAAAAAAAGCTAAAAAAATAGCTAAATTGTTGCTCATAGTCATCAGTGCTTTTTATTTTTTTATTTTTTTTATTAACCTTACCTAAAGATGTAAAAAGTGATAGAAGCTCACATCTTGAAGTTGCTGCAGCTCAGACTCCTTCTGTGTTGGTTTTTAGTGTCCAACGTGTTCATCTTAGCGGCGCTGCATGTGGAGAGGCGTCTGGCTGTGGTAGGTCTACAGAACAACACCTAACCTGTGACACACAAATGAACATCTCTTAAATCACAATTTACTCCTCTTAACATGTATTCGCTGCTTTGATTAGACATTTAGTTTACATATATGTACATATATTTAGGGGATAGTGTTCCTGTACACTCTAAACAGGGGTGGACTGATATGATTCTCTCTTTGTCTGTTTGAAACAAAGTAAAACGTCTATCATTGAGTCTTCAAAGCAATGAAAATCACAGTATAATTTCTTTTTTTAGCCTGCTGTTAGACAGTGCATATTGTTTGAATTGTTGTTGACAAGTTGAAAAAGCAGTTCTTCTCAAAGAAGAACACTTCTAATTACAAAGATTTTTTTTTTTCTGTAATACAAGTCTTTTCGTCTCGTTCATCTTTTCTAGGGTGCAATTTCTGAAACCACAGGATGGATTCTTCATTTTTTCAACCTGATATCTTTGTTGATCTTTCCCTCATTTACAGTACTCACTGTGACCTCCATGACCCCAGGTATGCCTAAATATCAATGGTACATACTGGTAAAACTTTTTGTTTGTTACATTTTGATGGTGACACAAAAACATGGATTTTCCTCCTTAGTTTAGAATTTCACCGATTGCATCATTTATTTCATCGTGGTAAATTCTCCTGTGTTTGTGTGTGTGTGTGTGTGTGTGTGTGTGTGTGTCAGTGGGTGGTGTGATCTCTCTAGGCATTTACACTGTGCTGTTTCTCAAGCTGTACTCTTACCAAGACTCCAACAGGTGGTGCAGGGAAATCAGACACGCCAAAGCCAAGAGACTGACTCGATCACATTCCTGTGAGTTCATCGATATCTTTCCAGGTTTCTGTGCTCCAGCACCGCCCAGTGCTTCCGTCTGCACACAGGAGCTCTGTAAATCAAAGTGTAACTCGAGCGGCGTTGTCACTACATGCGGTTTCGAGCTATTTTAAGCCTGAAAATGTGATACAGCTTTATAGGGCACTTGTAACACTCGCACTTCAAAATTTTGAACGTGTCTTTGTTGTTGTTTTTTCCAGGTCCAAACGTGGCACAGTTAAATGGGTCAGCAGTTCATTCACATGTCTCCTACCCAGGCAACCTCACACACAGAGGTGACCGTGCACAGCTGCTGTCCTTGATGATGATATGATAATGATTTAAAGTAGAGATGATTCGTTCAGCAGTATTTTTTTTTAATTATCTGCTATAATGGAACAATTCCATTCCATGATGTGATTTCGACTAATGTTTTAAATGTGATTTAAGTCATTTGAATCTCTGACTGTTTTGCTTAGGGTGTGCTGTGTATTTGCTGCTCGGTAGCGAGTTGACTGAACCTGTCTGTTTGTCTTTAGACATGTACTACTTTGTTTTTGCACCAACCCTCTGCTACCAGCTCAACTTTCCACGATCTTCTCGAATACGCAAAACATTTCTGATAAGAAGGCTTTTCGAAATGGTGAGAGGAAAACATTGCAAGGGTACCCACTTCTCAGCCCATGGCCTAACTAAGTAGAGTCTCAGATCGACATATTAGCATATTTTCTTTAAGTCAGAAATTTTTCTTTGTTGCAGCTTTTCCTCATGCAGTTGCTGGTGGGATTGATACAGCAGGTTTGTACAATATTCACACACACAGCACAAGCTCACTGACTGTACCATCTTCAGCCTTGTGTTTTGTATTTTAGTCATTTTAGTGGACAGATGAAGAGCTAATGAAGGAGTTTAGTGGTATTCAAAGAAGCATCAACATTATTATGCTGTATTTTTTCTGTTTATTGCATACATTGGATCCAATAAACCATTACACAAATGCTCAATTGTACTTTTAGAGACTAAAGAGAATGTGTTTCTTTCAGTGGATGGTTCCTACCATTCAGAACTCAATGAAACCATTCCAGGTATGTGAACTGCTTCTACATACAAATGCAAAATAGCAGCGCTTTTAAATAGTCCAGGCAAGATGCTGTCTGTAATTTGATTTTGTAAAAAAGAAAAAAAGACCTTACCTCTGTTTCCTAGGAAATGGACTTTTCACGGATGGTGGAGCGACTGCTGAAATTAGCTGTGAGTAGAGGAGGCGCTTTAGTGATATTTTGTCCCTAAACGGCTGCTGCTTACCCTTACCTGTTCCCCATTTCTGTCCCAGGTCCCCAATCATCTGATATGGTTGATATTCTTTTATTGGTTTTTCCACTCTTCTATGAACTTTGTAGCAGAGTTGCTGCAGTTTGGAGACAGAGAGTTCTACAAAGACTGGTGGTGAGTAACGGCCCTACAGTATTGCATACCTGCCTATCACATGGGCAGTTTTACATACAGAAAACGTGTTTTAAGGTAAAATTTACACAGATTTATTGGAAAAAGAGGAGGAATCTGGCACATTCTCTCTCCATAAATACTACTCAACCTGCCATGTAAGGAGTTCCCACATGAGGGCAGTTTGACCACATAGCAAGGTCACACACAAGATAAGACTTTTTTTCGTTTATAAGGTAGAATTTTGTCAGTATGATTTATTCAGAAGACCAGATGGTCCTGATATTAAATCTATATTTATTAATTAATTCATTCTGGTTATTTCAGGAACTCTGAGACAGTCACATATTTCTGGGCCAACTGGAACATCCCAGTACACAAGTGGTGTCTGAGGTGAGCAGCAAGCTGTACATGTCGTTTTTTCTTTCTCATTTTCAAAACACACACCATGGTCTGCGCATTTTGGATTAGCAATAATTGTATTGTGCTTTACAGACACTTCTACAAGCCAATGTTGAGAAGAGGCATCAACAAGTTTCTGGCTCAAACTGCAGTTTTCTTGGTTTCTGCCTTCTTCCATGAGGTAAAAAAAACAAAAAAAATTAACAAGACTGATAGCTTTTTATAAAATTCTTAACCCCATTTTTCCATTTTTTTCTTCCCCTTTCTTCTAAAAATCATCAAAATGGATATAAGTTGTCTCAATGTTGTGCAACAGCAAACACAAGTATTTAATTTGTTTGTGAAGCTACAAAATGGAGCTAAATTCAATAGTTAATGGGAAACTGTTTAATGTGGGTAAATTGTGGGGTTTCTCTCTTCACATTCAGCAATTTAACAATATGCAAATCCTCTCTTGTTCCTCTTCAGTACCTTGTGAGTGTTCCTCTGAAGATGTTCAGACTGTGGGCCTTCATGGGAATGATGGCTCAGGTAAAACATGGAGAATGTACCATTTCCTTTTGACAAAACATCTCTTAAAGCTGCTTTGTGGTCATGTGCTCTTTGCTACTCACGTCGGTTCTTTTAACCCTTTAGGTCCCTCTGGCTTGGTTTGTGAGTCGTTACCTGAATGGAAACTATGGCAACGCAGCCGTGTGGATCTCACTCATCATTGGACAGCCGGTGGCTGTGTTGATGTATGTCCATGACTACTATGTTATTCATTATGGGAGCTCTTCGTAGCACTGGACAAACGCACTTTCTCCTTCTGAACAGTAATGGACAGTGACGGAACGCTAATATTAAGCTGCCTCAGCTTTTATCTTTGCACTTCAGAGAACTGGACAGCAGGGTGTTGAGAAGTTATCTTCGATATATAAATAACATGAAATTGCTGGTGTTGCTTGCTCGGTAAACCGTAGATCCCTTTCCCGGGCCAAAAAGGCTGTTAATCCGTCAGCCTGTAAACATTCGGATCCACCATCAGCGCACCGTGATTCCACGTCGAGCATCTAAGTGTGGCTCCACAGTGGAGCAGAGCAGGAAACAGTTTCTCTTTGTTAGGAGGATTTATTTCAAACAGAATAAAGGTCGCATTTGATAAACCTCCAAAACAAATTGTTATGCTCAAGAAGTACTTTAACATACCCAAATGTGGAAACACTGTTCGAAACCAAGAACTTCACCAAAGTCGTAAATGTTTGGGATGTGTCTCGTTAACCACTGCCAAACGAATACGAGCTAGAACACAATCCTGCCTACAAACACAACCATTTTGAAGTTGATTTGCTTCTAAAAAAAGCAAGGCTTGAAATCCAGTTCAACATCAAAGATCTTGTCAGGTCTTGAAATTGACCAAAGTGACATTTTTTTTAAACATGTATTCTGCACATATGTATATGTATATACATATGCATGTGTTAACCCTGATTCAAATAAAAAAAGGCTCTCTTCACTAAAGGAACAAAGGATAAATAGATATTATTGTGATTTCATTTGTTCAATCATGAATGTAACTGTTTCTCTGCTAAACAACACAACCAGTAAGAACTCATAGTTTAACGGGACATGGTTGTATGTGTCTTTGGATTTGTCTCTGGTGTGTATCTGATGAGAGGTGTCTGACGATTAGTTTTATTTTGTATTTCTGTTCGTATATATGACTGCATGCAGTTAAATGATGTGTGATCTTTGTGCTACACCAGTGAACTGAGGCAGTGTTTGATTGACCTGTTTGAAACCAATTATTGTTGTTTTTGCACTTTACAGAGATGCATGCCATTGATGAAAGCAATAGATTTCTATGAATATATTCTCTTAAGTTAAAGCAATCATCTAAAGAGCAGCTTTTGTGCGAATAATCTGTATTTTGTGTGATTCACTTACAGAAAATGTGTTCCTTATGCTCCATAAATTGAGATTATGAAAGGGACATTCAAAAAGTCTCTTCATGTTCATGTTTAACATTATTTATATTCAAACCTATTTCTTAGTTTGATAACTGGTAAAGCGTAACACTCTTTCCAATGCAGCTCAATACAAGAAAATACTTTTCTATTTAAGATTTAAAACACTTTTAACTGATAATTGAGACTGTCTTGTAAAAAAAAAAAGTCCTGTATTTCTTTCTCTTTTTTTGATCACATTTCAGGGAAAACACTTAAATCAAACACAAGTTGTCTGAAAGACCTTGTGTGTTTCATTCCGAATCCAAAAGAACAAGTGCCTGCTGTAAAAATTTGCGCTTATATTTATAATATGCCGAATATTTAGAGAAAGCATTGTAAAGAAAAAACAACCACTTTCAGTGTAGCAGTTAAACCACATGGTTGTATTATTTTCCGATTTATTTTAAAGTCTTGGCCAATTTTAACTTTATTATTTTACCAAATGTTAAATTTAAGGCTACTTATTTTCTTTTATAACATGGTTCTGCATAAATCTCACCATGTAACAGGTCTGTCATTAACGTCAATGTGTATTGTTTTGAGCTACTTTTATAAAACAAATATTCTACAGTTCTGCCAGTTAATGTGTGATGTTTGTTCAGCCTTTGTTGCAAATGCCACAGATTGACTATGAGAATTATTTCTGCTCATCATCTTTACTAAATCAACAAGTTGTATTTGTAAAAGGCCTAAAAAGGTCTCTTTGCAAACAGCTTTTGAGAAAAACTAATGATCATTTAGTATAAGAGATATTATAAAACAGAGGTAATTTAGCTGGAAAGTGTTTTCAAGCTTTTCAAGTTCTTGAATGCAAATATAAAATCCAACTGTGCATTGAGAATTTTGAAGAGTTAATTTAAAAATGAATTAACATCAAATGAATGTATTGCTAGTTTTGCTCACATTGTGAAAAGATGTTTGAGTTGAAACAATAATGGTGTTTTGAAAATGCAAAAATATTTGTGCTGTTTCATAAAGATGGTTTATATCTGATTTTTGGGACTGGTTGTTTCTTTTATTTTCTCAGAATTTTGACGAAGAAGCAGTCAATCTTCAAATGATCAGAGACCAGAAATTTGTGATCATTCAACAGGCTGGAAACAAATAAATGTTATGTGTGACAAGGTCTAACTGTTGACCATTTAGTAATTCTGACATTTTACACCATACAAAACCATCTCTGAGGACACATCATGTGGTTGTACAACAAAGCTTTACTGTACAGACTATAAGAGTTATATGAACACAATCAGAAATAAACTCCACATCCAGGGAATGGTGCAGCCCGAGTGGAGCTATTGCTGCAAGAATAAAAAATAAATACCATGAAATTAACCATATTCCTGTTTACTTTTGAACAAAAACAGGAATAACTCTGAGACTGACTACTTACTGCCCTAACTGCGGCCTTCTGATTCTGGACAGGTAGGTAGAGTTTAAACTCTGCTGGGAGTTCGTCCTCTGAGTACAGCCTGTCTGAGAAATACACCCTCCTAACGCGACAGTTTGCGTGAATCTAAGAGCAAAGCCGATCACACGACGGCAGGAGGAAAAAAAAATAGGGATTGTTAAGTCCCATCAGAGCGAGCAGCACATCTGAACACTGCTGAGTCGGCTGTTTACCCACCTGTACACGGAGCGTTTCGGTATAATTGGTTCCATAGGCCCTCCTGGTGAAGTCTGACAGGTTGAACTGGATCTGGTTCCAGCCATCATCCAGTCTCATGGGCATGGTGCAGATGAAGGGTTTCACCCGGGTCGTGCTCTGGTAGTTACTGGCTCGGAATCTCCTTCTTACGTTTTTATCATCCAACACCTGAGAGATGGAAAGAAAACGTGGAGGCGGATGGTCGTCGGGTCCACAATTTTTAAAGGAAGTCTTAAAAAAAAAACAGAGTGAGTCTGTACCTGAACTTCAAAGGTGAAATACTTCTTGAGATTCTTAATGATCATGGCCAAAAAAGGAAGCCTGATGCCCAGGGTCTTCTGGGGGTCTGCGGGACACGTTATATAGGTGGTGCTGCAGGAGGAGAGTTGATGGACAGCAGGGAGGATGGGTGAGACTGGTGCTTAAGGAAGTCAACCTGAGCTGATAAATAAACAGAAAGTCACCTGACGTTTGCTCCCTCGACCTCCAGCACTGTTGAGTTGATGTCGTTGTCTGTCATTTTCTTGATATGGCCGTTCCTCACCTGTGAAAGCAGATATTCTGAGTATATTTTTCTTGTATCAAACGAGAAATGAAGCTGCTCTCACAAGCAAAATGTGGGAAAAAAACACAGAAACCGTTTCAGAGGTATAATATATCCAATGTACAATTCCGTTTTGATTCTGAGAGGGTAAATCATACATATTTTTCATTCCAAAACTAAAACACGTCCGAGGCCATTTATAAACACCCAGAGGTGAAATGATCGTGGTCACGGGACGCCCTGTTTTGCACTGATAAGGCACTTAATTAAAATGTCAAACGATCCCTCACAATATAATCCGGGCAGTCATAACTATAGTAACTCTGACTTGACATGTGGTGTAAAAATATTTAAACAAAACTGCAAAGATTTAAAGACTAAAAATGCTGGTCTAATAGGGACATGTGTTTGGCTGTGGTTCAGATGTTGGAATGGGAGTTCAGTCCTGAGAGTGTGCTTAAAATCAGGAGCTGAAAGCTGACCTCAAACTGTCTTCAACAAATGGCATCTTCCCCTTACACCTCGTTGCTAAGCAACAGCGAAATTGCATTGCTAAAACTAAACCAGGCAGTCATATGTTTCTGATGTAAATCTCAAATCTCAATAACATCCATTTCCATGATCTTACACCAGTTTCCACACTGAATTAAATCCAACATCCTCCCAAGTTACATTCAAATAAATATTGATGCACTAAATCTCCTCTTATCAGAAGTTAGGTTTAATTTTAAACAGCAATATTTTTTACACTAGCTGACAAGCGACAGACCCCACGTAACCAAGACATTTATATATATATATATAAAAGAAAAAAAACTTTAGTACAACTCCACAGTCCGTTCAAAATGGCCTCATAACACATATTTTGAGGCGTTGCTTACCTTTTTGTCCCATATTTGAAGGGGTTTGCTGCCTATGCTGTATAAAATAGATAAGAATCCGCTCTGGAATGTGTTTTTAAACATCTTATGGCAGATTAGTTCAAACTCCTGAGTTAAAGACCAGGAGCACCCTTCTTCATGACTCGCCTTTCTATAGAACTTTTCTGACGGCAGAACGTCAGAGGCTCCAGGAGTTAAAAGTAAACAAAATAAGCAAATGAACTTGTTATGAATGGAAAATGAAATATTAGCGCTTCTTTCGAGAAGCGTTTCCATTTCTGATGGAGGTCTCCGTACATTGTTCGCACACTTTCTTAACCCCATGAAGTCTGGTCCAAGGTGTTTTTTTTAAGGTCTGAAGTCTATTTATATATCTAAAAAAAACAGAAATCTTTACACGTTTATAATTTATTCGCTAAGTTAAAATGATGGTCGAGTAGTCTTCTGCCAGCTGTTATCAGGTAGGCTATATCTGATTGTGTACAACAGGGTTTTGAGCTAATTTTTTGCCATAAAATGATGCAAGACGTTTCTTAAACCCTATGATCTGATACATATGGTATTATAGGTTGAAATGCTTGGACAAACCTTCGTGTTTTCGATTCTTTAAAAAAAACGTCATTGCTGCCGCTGTTTTTCTGAAGTAAATAGATTTTTTTTCAAATTTCCTACAAACCAGTGTGGCAAAAATGTTACATGATGGAAGTGATACATTTGACTATTTCCTGTGAAATAGATGAAGATACAATATTAATCCCCTGGTGGGAAAAAATCATATTGTCAAGTTTCAAAATTGAATTATTTACAAAGATTTAATCTAGGAACAAATAGATCGATATAACTATCTAAAATCATCAATAGAATTGAAATTGAACTCTGAATGGCACCGAAATTTCTCTGTTGGAACAAGAAAAAGAGAACAGTGAGATGTTTCAGACCTGACACATGAGCCATACAAAATGCATTTGAGAGATTGATCAGTTTTTGATTTGGACTTAATGTGTTTAGATTAAATTTGCTGAAAAAATATATATTGGGTCTTGTAATAAAGAACTAGTATTTGATTAGAAAATGTGACTTTGAGAAACTAAGGAAAATAATTAGGACACAACAGTTAATAAAAAAGACTTTATTGTGCACAAAGTGACAAAGACACCAGTCAGAGCTCCTATTTCCACAATCAGAATATCATAATGTTTAGTTGCAGCCACACAAAATAAATCTTCCATCTAAACTCCACATCACATCTTGGGAATGGTACAGGTCGAGAGGCTCTACTGCTGCAAGAAACAAACAAAGAAATTACTGACAAACAACTAAACTGAAAGCTGCCAAAGGTTTCATAACAGTCTACAACTATTTGTACAAGCACATAAACAACTCAGGGCTCTTTGCTACCTTTTTTTTCCAGGATAGCAACACTAGTGCTCCATTTTAGAGTCGTCCTTAAATCAACTTCAATACACCTAAATTATTTCATCTAGATTGCATTACTGACAAGTAAATGTTTTAATGTCTTGCTTTTTCTGCATAATGTAATTGCCAGTTTATCACCAGAGTATTTTTCTGTAATCCCGTCATATAAAAATATTAGTGTACCAACTGCCACCATCATCAGAGTTTAACGACAACCTGCAGTGCCTTTTCCCTCAAGTTGTTGCTATGACGACACCGGCTAAACACAATGCACCAATGCACACAGACATGCCAATTCTTGCCCTCTCATTTTAGAAAAATTAAATGTAAATGATTATAGGAAAAAAATAATAACAAAACCAAAAAGGGGAATCAGGGGATTCATTTTAGGATCCAATTGTTGCTGTAATCTGAACTCCTGCTGTTTTTTGACATCGTGTACAATGTGAGCTCTTTTCAACTCACAGAGGCGGTACTTACCTTAGCCTTCTGATTCTGGACAGGCAGGTAGAGTTTAAACTCTGCTGGGAGTTCGTCCTCTGAGTACAGCCTGTCTGAGAAATACACCCTCCTAATGCGACAGTTTGCGTGAATCTAAGAGCAAAGCAGGACACAAATAAGCAAAAGAAAAGCAGATATTTGGAATTTACAGAACAAGAGAAATGTGAAGAAAACGTGTTCCTGTCGTCTGCATGCGCTGACCTGTACACGGAGCGTTTCGGTATAATTGGTCCCATAGGCCCTCCTGGTGAAGTCTGACAGGTTGAACTGGATCTGGTTCCAGCCATCATCCAGTCTCATGGGCATGGTGCAGATGAAGGGTTTCACCCGGGTCGTGCTCTGGTAGTTACTGGCTCGAAACCGCCGCCGGACATTTTTATCATCCAACACCTGAGAGACGGAGAGAAAGATGGAGACAGGGGCAGAGTGTGCGTGAGCAAGAATCCCCTAATTCACTGGCTGTCAATAAAAGAAATCGAGTTTGAATTCTCTACCTGAACTTCAAAGGTGAAATACTTCTTGAGATTTTTTATGATCATGACCAAAAAAGGAAGTTTGATGCCCAGTGTCTTCTTGGGGTCTGCAGGGCATGTTATATAAGTGGTGCTATAGGGGGAGGAGAGTTGATGGAAGGGTGAGACTAATTCATCAAGTGAAAACATACAGGCACAACAAAGACACGTAAGGAGGGCATGACAGTAGCTTACACATTAACTATAAATAAACTATACAAAAGCCGACTGATAAGAAGATAACAAAGCACTACTCAACATACAAAAACATAATAATTAGGAATTTCTCATGTTTAATTCACAACTAACATTTCTTTCCATCATTACATACGTGATGAGATCTAAGAAACAACATTATAATAACTCAATTAAGCTGAGCTTTGCATACATACTCACCTCACATTTGCTCCCTCGATTTCCAACACATTAGAGTGTATGTCATTGTCGGGGACTCTCTTGATGTGACCATTTCTGACCTATGAACACAGAATTATTTGTTGTTTCCCTTGTTTTACTTGCAATAAGTTACTTGCTGTGTCTTATAGGTATTAAGGATACAGTGTATGGTGAAATACTTTAATGATTGAGACTTTTAGGAAACAAAATAGTGATTTGCAGTTCACAACAAAACTGAGAAAAAAGGACGGGGTGTCTTGAAGTTCATTAAAGATAATTTATAAACAGTGTTGCCTTAACAAAAACTGTTTGACTCAGAGAAGTGTGAGTAAAAACGTAGGAGGAATTCATCCAAATTACTCTAATTTCCATCTTTCCCAAATATAATGCTAGAGAGCTTAACAAGAATGAAGTCCAGTTGTACAGCAACAAAGCCACAGCACGGTGGGGAAACAAATTGAATGTGAAACCTTTCAAGACTGCAGAACATTGGATCTTTATCTTAATCGTAGCTGTAGTACAATGTTGATGGTACACACACAGCAGATGGATGCCAACTCCCAACATTTGTCCCAGAGCGTTTTTTCTCGTTGAAGAAAATTGGTCTAATAGATCATAGCATGACTATTTTTATGTTTTAGATAACTAATGCAAGTCCTGTGAGCCATTTGCAAAAAGATTAGGGTTCTAAAATAAATAAGTACACACGACGCTTGCTAAGCTTTAGCATAAGTAGCAGTGTAAGCTAAAATGTCCGAATGTACAGCATTAGTTTGGACCTACCTTCTTGTCCCATATCTGAAGTGGTTTACTTCCAATGCTGTATAAAATAGACAAAAAACCGCTTTGGAATGTGTTCTTAAACATTTTATTTAGCTTCAGTGCACAGTACGTGTGCTCATACTGTAGCCAACCAGCAACGCGTTTGTTTACAGGCTTTGTTTCCGGTCCCCAACGTAACCGCTCTGTGTAGTGAGACATAAATCGTTCCGCCATGAGCGATTTGTGGTATGTCTTTTAAACAAAAATTTTAGGTGTTTTGACTGATATTTCATAATATATATAAACTATTCTTAGAATAACTGTAAATGCAAAAGTGGCTTTCATGGTTTATTATTTTTTCGGTGTTCAAATGAGCGGAACTTTTCAGGCTCTGTTCTGTCCGGCTTTTAGATGTTGACACAACTCAGTCGTCATGGTAACAGGGAGTCAAATGAGCATCCGCGAATTGCGTTTAACGAAAAGATAACTTTTTTGGCAAAAAGAAGAAAACACTACACAAACCGGAATAAGACTAAGTTGACCTGGAGGTTCTGAAAAGGGAACAGCTTTAATCTTGATTTAATCGAATGCGCCCTACATGTGTGGAAATCTTTTAATTGTTTTTTAACTGTAACTTTAGGTCTTGAGAAGTTGAGAAGCCTGTTTTGAACACATAGAAATTACTTCTCGAGTTTTATTGCTCTTTGTCCGTACCAGTGGATTTACTTTAGTTTAAAATGGTTGATACCCAAACACACTCGAAGCTGCTGCCTCTAGAAGACTTTCTTGGGTACAGCTATATTTTAGTTCTCCTGTCACACTCGAAATCCCCCTGGTGTGCCAAGTGGGACATCCTTCCCCTCTGTCTCCAGCACTTTAAACATATGACAAAAGCTTCAAATATTTGAACAAGTTGAGAAACGCTTAATCAAACATTAGCCAGGCCCTGTGCACATGACACCACTGACACTCGACATAAATACTCCTGTTGTTGCCATAAGAGCTGAAGCTGAGTTCACTTGTCAAAATTCAGGTCAGGTTTGTACTTCGGCAGTTTGTTTGACATTTTGACATGAGCCGTGAAAAAATTTAGACAAATCAGTGTTATAAAAAAACTGCATAAAAACAGGAAAAACATCCTGTATCTGAGCTACATTTTTCTTCTTCCTCTTTTTATGTCATACATTCACAATCAGAATCAATTAATCAATGAGTCACTACACCTCAGCTGTTTTATGGCATTATTTAGTGTCTTATCTCTAATTGGGTTATCTATATACGCTGACACAGCAGTATATAGCTTTCCCCTTAGGCCTTGTGTGACACCAGAGTCCTTCTCCTTTCATATTCAATAAAAGTTAACATCTTAATACGTTACAGTTAATGGAATTCAATAATAGTCAGCCATAATAGAATCTGCATCTAATAGAATTATCATTCACTTCTAGTTTTCACCAACTGGTAAAATGCTTTTTTCTACTCTGTTCATAGCTTATAATGTGATCCTTTTGGCAAATAACATTCCAATTAGTCAAATAAGAGATTATTCATCCAAGTAGGGAGAAAACACTCAGATCCAGCAGGAGGAGGATAAAATAAGTGCAGATGTGTCAAACGATGTTTAAGAAATCCTTTTCAATTCTCTAAATAATGCTATTCAAATCCACACCTGATTGAAATGGTTCTTTGCCCCTACTTCATCCTTTGTTTTGTGCCTCATGGACAAAGTGAAAACCAACTCTTTTATCTTCACAGTTCTGGATTAAAGGACAAAGCAAACAGAAAGAGAAGCTGCTACAAGGACCTGAAGGTTCAGAGATGGTTCTTACTGATGAAGAGAAAATACGGCCATGAAAAAATGTCAGTGGAGAGAAAAGAGAGTAGGTCACTGCTGGAGAGATTCCCCCTCCCAGAGGTTTATGTCTTAGATCTCTTCTCTCTGTCTCTTCTCGGAAAATTATTGAAAGGACAGAGCAAAAAAAGAAGCGATAAAAGCAGGAGAAGTAATGCAGAAACTCTTGACAAGATCATGGAGGCAGTAGACAGACTTTCATCGCTGCCCCTGTCTACACCAGGTATGTTTCCATTCAGACGTCAGTGCTTAGTCTCTTTTTTCTTTGTTTTTCTCATGTGTTGTTTTTCAGACATCATCAGATTGGGACATTGAAGTCATTTAGCTAAATTAACTCAGGAAACTTATGAATTCCCTTCTGCTTTTATGTGTCTCACTGTCTAAAACTGCAAGAATCCTTCTGTAATTGGGATTTAAGTAATTATTTCCCTTAAAACTTTGACACTCTATTAACTATTTAATCCTACATGGTAAATGGATGTCTTTTTTTTTCTGTTCCATGTCAGAGGCTATTTTCTGTAGTGCACAATTTCATACACATCTGAATATGTCGATAGATAACACTTAACCTTATTCAGGGACATCATTACAGTGTCGTATTGATTTGTGGTTGGGGCATGACACAAAAAAAAACTGTTCTTTCATAAATATGACACAAAGACCATGGTCATTTACAGTTTTGTCTACGAATGAAGTATCAGCTAAAATGGAAAATGTCTGTATAATATATAATATTCCCATTTATGTGTGCATCTAGGACCTAAACTAATGGGTAAACAAACAAGAACTCATGAGAGCTGCTTGCAGGCTTTTCTCTGTTTTTGAACCCAGACCATTTTAGCGTTTTATCCAACTGTCTTATGATGACACGGGGTGGGAAGACCTTTCTTCAGCAGCACATGCTAACAGACAGGAGCTCACACATATATGATATTTATGTGGAAAGGAAGAGAAGTTTGGCTGAAAGTAGAATAAATGATGAGGTGTACTTCTGACAAAATCCATCAGTTTCTGATTCCCGTTTCATTTTCTAATGTTATCTAGAGAGTAACAATTAATGGTTTGAGTTTAACCTTTTTTTAAATGTGGGGGGGCTTGGTTTAATTTGTGAACATACTTTGTGTCCTAGTTGAAGACTCCGAGTATCTTTTTTTGCCTTTCTTATAGCCTGTCGATATATCTGGAAACCATCAAGAGTGCATTTTATCTGATCTATCTTTAGCTCAGCACAATATTTTATGCTAAGTATCTTGAAAGATAACCGTGTCTGCATGCTGGGATTTTTAGAGGTTCTTCTTCTTCAAACAGGATGTGTCACATTGACAAAATGTTCTTGAAGACAGACGTAGATCTTGTGTTGGAGTCAACACAAGTCAGCGGTGTGTTGGACAGCAGCGCTGACATGGCTCATGTTAATACAGCCCTATGTTTAAAGAAACACACCAGGCCACGCACTTCACTTTGTAGAAACAGTCACATTCTTTCAGAGAGCAAATGAAGATGGATTCAGTCGTCTCTGCCGTATGAGACGACATCGTTTATGTGACGGGGATTTCTAAAGTCACCTCGGACACCACTACATCTGCAAAGACTGTTGCCATGTCTTTAGTTTTTGGTTGTCAGCACAGTAAGGGAATTGCTAACCTGTCTGTCTGTGTTCTGGAGATAAAGGTTTAGGCATCTAATGATAAAGGGGCCTCAAAGGTACTATGAATTTAGAACAAAAATAGCACGAAAAAAGGGCCAATTTTGCTTCAGAAGTTAGATACTAAGTAAAATGTTTCCTTTTTAACAAGGTTTATAGCAAGGCCTGACCAATCAGTGATTTATATACATGGTTCTGACCCAGTCTGTCACTCATTCTTTCGAAGATTCAATGGAGATGCTTTTCACCAACATCAGCTCTACCTCCGGTGTGGTGCCCGCCCGTCCGCTTCTCCCCTCACATCGGTCCAACTGCAGCACCTGGGATCAGCAGTGGGGGGCGCCCCACCTGCACAGGTTAGCCCATCTGGACGTGCAGCTGTACCGGGACTTCTATGCTGTCTGGCTCTCTCTAATGGTAAGGCCAAATGTCGAATGTCGGTAAGATACTTCTAAAAAAAAAAAAAAAGAAAATGGCTGCATTAAATATTACTGGACAGTAACTTCAATGACGCACCGGTTGTGTGTTTGTGCCTCTCCAGGTGTGCAACAGCCTGATGCTGGTGGCCGGTGTGGTCCTGAACGGTCTGGCTCTCTACGTGTTCTGCGGGGCCTCCCCCCACTCGTCGGCCTCTGTGGTCTACACCATAAACCTGGCCGTGGCCGACCTGTTGGTGGCTCTGTCCCTGCCCGCTCGCATCGCCCTCTACCACAGCCAGGGCCGCTGCCTGGCCTGCTCCTACGTCCACACCTTCAGCTACTTCGTCAACATGTACTGCAGCATCCTCTTTCTGACCAGGTGGGGGGAAGTTTTGATTTCAGCACCGGGATGTGTTCGCCCCCTGCTCCATGGCACATGATGGATACTTTCCATGTCTCACTCTCAGTATCTGTGTAGACCGGTACCTGGCTGTCGTCCAGGCAACCAGCACTGTCCACCGATGGAGAACTAAAGGAGCGGCCAGGTGCGTCAGTGCCATCGTGTGGTTCACCGCAGTGGTGGTCACCTACTCTTTTCAGGTGAACGCTCACACTCCATCATAGAACATGTGCTATAATCCTCAAAGTAAACAGAGACAAATGCATTTTTTAAATAGTTATTCAGAGCAAGAGACGCCTAACCTCCCCCCTACACGACCCTTTTGGGAATAAGTGGTGCAGAAAATGGATGGATGGAAGTTATTGAGAATTGTCGTTTCCAAGCTTTTTTGGGGGGGATTTAAAGTTGTACTACATAGGCCCAAATGGGACAAATCAAATACTGACTAAATTGAGCTTTCGCCGTTTTTTAAAAACAGTTTTTTAAAACCGTTTTTTAGCTGAACCACCAGGTCACTACGCCCTGCAAAGTTGACTTTGTCTGTGTCATCTCTGTAAATCTCAATGTTTTTCCTTTGAGTTTTAAAAGGGTATTTTAGACACATCTTTATCAATTAAGATAGGAGGTTAAATCCCATGCAAACATCTTGATTTCACTGAAAATCTGCATGACATCTTTGTGGTTCGGCCGGTATCTGTGTCCAAAACGCATAACAGAGCAGGAACATGAGTCTCCTTTTTGCCTCCTTCAAGTCTGAAAATCCGATGTGGTTTTTATTCAGGGTTTTATTAGACACCTCTTTTCCTATCTCTGTAAACTACAATTACAAAAAATAATGTTATTTTTCTCACGAATGTGTATGTACTTCTCAAGCCTCAGCAAACACAGAAAATGGTGCTGAAGCTGTCCTTTATAATGATAGGGGTTGCACAGAATAATTCACAAATTCTCCTGTTTCAAACCTGTGTGGTAAGTGGCATCCTGCTCTAAACTGCACAGACATGAAGCGTAAATAAAAACCCTGCCGTGATGCAGACAGAGGAGGCAGCTCTAAAGAATGATGATCTGCTGGTGGAAAATAGCTGAGCCCCAAACAAAGCCAGATGGACATTCATGACCGTGTCTCCCCTTTTTTTCCTCAGACCACGGCTCTGAACTTCAGCTCCTCTTGCGTGCTCCTCCCCGCCCACTTCTACCTGACCGTCCTGGAGTTCCTCCTGCCCCTGCTGACCGTGGTGGGCTTCACGCTGCGGCTCACCTGCTTCCTGTCCTCCGGTCAGGGCCTGATGCCCCAGCAGAGCCGGGCCAGGCGGGCTCGGGCCGTCAGGCTGCTGACCACCGTGCTGGTGGTGTTCACCGTCTGCTTCACGCCGTTCCACCTCCGCCAGCTGCTGGTCTACTTCCAGGTCAGGGCGGCGGGCGGCGAGGGGCCCGGGCGGCGGGCGGGGCACGTGCTGGCCTACCACGTGACGGTCAGCCTGAGCAGCCTGAACAGCTGCCTGGACCCCGTGGTCTACTGCTTCGTGACGGACAGCTTCAAGAGGATGTGGAGGATGAGGAGAGGGAGAGGCAGGGAGGAGGATGAGGAGGCCGGGAACACTAGAGACGGAGAGAGGAATTCAGTCCAGAAGTGTCCGGGCGCCGTGCTGGCCATCGCTCACAGCGTGGCCACGCTGACCCTCGCCAACGCGCCCCGACCAGCAGCCCACACTGACCAGCCTGCTCCAACCGGTCACCCCCTCTGACCAGCCAATCAGGAACCACCCAGAAGGGAAAAACTCACCAACAGGAATGGACTACTAGATCACTAGAACACTGAACCTCTGGGAGTGGAAAACTTACATGTGGATTCTAATCACATCATGTACAAACTGGATTTTATATATTTTTGAGTCAGCTTAGATTTAAAAACACCAAAGTGGCAGGTAGACCAACAGAAAGCAGTACTCCAGTTGGATTGATGGTTTTGGTTCTTTAGCCATGTGCTCTTTACACCTTTGTAGGAAGTCTTTTAACTTAGGCCCACTAATGTTCCAGCACCAAGAAAAAAAATGAAAAAGAAAAAAAAGTTTATAGCGCCTTTTATTACTTTGATTTGGATTTTTACAAGTATTCTAAATTAGTCCCTATAAGAAAAGAATAAAAAAAAATCTTTACTAGTTTCGTTTTTCCGATTTTTTTTCAGTTCCTGTAAAAATTCTGGTACTGTTTTAACTTTTGGTTCAGAACGTTTGATGCTGTCATGTTCTTCTTTGTTGCCATTTATTATTTTGTTTGTGTTAAATCATTATTGTAATAAGCTTAGCTTTAAAAAAACAACAACATTTTCATAGATTATCAATGACATTTGTTTACATATTGGTATTGTTTTTGTGATATTTGCATCTTGTGTATTTAATCCTTAGCCTCCAGTTACTTTGAGTCCTTCATACCAGCTCACTCCGTCCCTGTCATTGCGCCTGAATGTCCTCAGTGTTCTTGGTCGGTTGCTGGTCATCACTCATCTATTCTCAGTCCACTCATCATCCTTACCAGCGGTCAGAAGTCTCCGGTCATCACTGGCATGTTCTGGCTCACTGCGCTGGTGTGACTCCTCCATGAGTCTTCTGTAGTTTAGTCAGTGAGTCCCACAGTTGCTTGTTCTTTACTCTGTTTTTGTAGCCTTCAGTTTGAAGTTTTTTATTGGTTTTCTGGAGACTTCCAGATGATCGTAAAAGTAATAAATGTAAACGAGAAACTTAAAAGTTTAAAAGATATTACCAACTTTAAACAGTTACTTGTTATTAAAGTTACCATATTATCTTTATCATAACAGGATTTAAATATCTTCCCCACATCGTTCCTGGTGCATTGCCTTTTTTATTTCTTATTACTCTAAATCTTTATTTGAGATTCCTTTGGATTGCCAGTTTTTCCATCCTAATAATTAATGCATCGATGTATTCATTGTATGCTTAAATCTGTACTTCACCTATGATTTTCCTCCCCAAAACCTTAAGATTGTGACATTTATAAGGGAAACCTTAAAGTGCAGCTATACCCATGTGCTGGACGGTAATCAATACAAGGGAAAGATGGTGAACAAATCGAGTGCCATTTCCCTTTCATTTCTCTAGAGAGCCCACAGGTTATTATAGTTCACTTAACATAACGTCCTGGAGCTGGAAATGAATCCCTCAGCACATCGCACACACACACACATACGTACCATCAGCGTGGCCTCCTGTCACATGATGAGTCTGGGTCAGACATGCATGAGGCTCAGCTTCCCTCTCTGGTTTCTGTGCGCAAAGAGCTGAGCCCAGAGTCCATTCTGCAAGAGCAGGGCTTTCTTATTTTCCTCTTCTCTAAGTGGTTTTTACCACAGAGCATCACGGGAGAGCAGTCGGCTGCTTTCAAAAAGCTTAGTTCAGGAGTTTTGCCCACAAAAAAAGAGGGAAAAAAACACACAAAAAAGCAGTGAAAAATGCAGAACAGCAGTCTCACCATTTGAAAGCCCTGCTGTATTGACTTAAACCTCAAAGTGGTGTGAAGCTCATATTCTGTTATTGTTTTTGCTTAACATTACTCCAAAGACGGCAAACCAGACACTCCTACGTGTTGCAGGAGCTAAATACAAAAACAGAGGAGGTCTCTGTCTGGAGAAGCTTGCTCACTCGTTTGAACTGCTCAGACACTTTTGAGAGCCAATCAGATCGTGTCCTTTGTGGGGCTTTCTAAGCAGTAAAACTGAAAAGCTTTGAAAAGCTTCATGTGTGTAAATGCTGGTCTATGTATCATAAAGACAAATAAAGAAATGTGGTAGGACAAAATGACCCTCTCAGTAATTATCTGTAAATTATAGATTGTATCAGCTCTCTTCAGTTACTTTGATAAAATATCATTTTATCCTTTGTTGTAAAAATTCAGATTTAATCTAGAAAAAATATTAAAAGTATTTTTTTTTTTTTTTAAAGCAAAAATGTGTGGAGGGAATTGACAACAAAGAGACAAGTTAATGTTTTCTTCCTGCCAGCACACATTTTATGTCTTTAAACTAAAAATATGTTTTTGGATGGGTATAACAACAGTTTCATTTATTTACATTAATTAGAGTTTTAATTTGGTGAAGACCAGAAATATCTCAAGTCTGTGGAAGTCATTTTTGTATATTGTGAACTTCATAAATATTTGTGAACGTTGAAAAAAGAAGGAAATGTGTTATTTTGTTTACTTCTCAACAGATTTTAAAAGGTGCATCCCATACAGTGTTGATCCAGAGTCCTATACTGAAGAAGGCTCAAGCATACTTAGGTAACATAGAGATATATACAGACTTTATATAGAAAACAAAACAACTAACAAAAATAATCATCTTTTTTATAGCAGCAAAAAAGAAGAAACTAAAAGTGAAATATGTATATTTACATTTTTCAAATAAGAAGGCATATATATATATATATATATTTATATATAGATTTATATATATTTAGTACACTATGTATATTCACTTTCCCATTCTTTAAATATTCTTCTTGATTTAATCTCTATGAAAAATCAAAGTATATAGACATTTCTCTACTCCACCTTTACACACACAGACCTACAGGCAGAGCCACACACTGGAGTGGCTCAGCCTAAACTTAAAGTACTAAAAAAAAGGAGACATTTTACATGCCAGAAGGGAGACAAAAAAGACTCGTCAATAACTTTCGGCATTGCAGTCGACATTTCCAGACCAAGTGTAAACCACGTGATTGCAAAGAACAGAGAACATGAACCAAAATATGAACACCGAGATGACATTTTAAAACACCTGTCTTTTGATTTAAATGTGAACAGCTTAGAAATAACTCCTCTCACACCCAATCTCAGGCACACGCTCACACAGAGTCCAGCTTACTCCCCGTAACAGCAAATATAACAGCTTTACTTTCATTTTTCAGAACCTAAGTGAGATGTGTCTTTTATAGACCTAAAAGCTCCAAAAATAAATATCCACAGTTATTTATTTCTTCCATTTGCGACATAACTGTAATCTTCTTTTAACTCGTCATGTGCAACTTCTGTGCAATGTAAGGAAGCCCACCCTGGCTTGTCGAACATCAAAACTAGAGCGATTTCAGCTGAAACCATCTCACATTCACTGACTTTAAAATAAGAAAAAAAAAGATTTCAAGTTACAAGGTGGAATCAAAGATTAAGAACTCAATCTCTCAGCAAGCTTAGCTAGCAGCCATGCTGTCTGAACATTCAGGTAAAAAGGCGTGGGATGTTAAAAAAAAGAAAAGAAAAAAAAACACCTCACAAATCAGAGACTTTTCTCACTATGTTGGAATAGAAACACTTCCATTTGTGGCCTGGAAGTTCTCATCTTTAAATGGCAACAGCATCCGTCCACACTTGCGTTGTGTTGAAAAGCAACATGGCGGCTGCGGTCTGATTGTTGTGCAAAAACATAAAACTCACACGCTTGTTTGGAGTGTACTGACCTAGACCAAGCCCGATGCTGCAGCTCAAACAGTGCTAGTCACACATTTAAAGTCAGACAACAAAAGACACAGAGTTCCAGACATGCATCACAAAATACATCCCTGACCTGTTGGGACCATAAAGAAAAAGAGCCGGAGCGATTTATACAGAGTCGTACTTTGGTGTTTCACACATGCACATCACCACTGGTGCATGCACATCTCCCAAACCCAAAGTTTGTTTTTCTTTTGCTTGTTTTTCTGTCCTCGAACTGAGATTTTGCGTCCATTTAAAAATCCAGAGCAATTGTGGCCCTCGTTGCTTTATAGGCCATTTTCCCCCCAGAACCACAACCAGAGCAAGAGCAACCCAGGAAGTGAAAGGCTCTCTGTGTTCTGGTCTGGAATTCACTGAATGTACCTGAAAATAATCTGTCTGGTGAGTGAATTTAACAAAAAAGTTTAGAATATGCTTTAAACTCCACCCACGAGTTGGAAAAACCAAGAGATCATAACCGCTGAGGGGAATTTTAAAACAAAAATAATCTAAAAACTGAAATTAAACACTCTTTTTAACCATTATTGTTTAAGAGAAATGTACATTTCAAGACAAAACTGACCCAAACCGACAGCCGTTCACTCTGTCAGACACCAGGAAATAACACGCACCCGTGAAAGAGTTTTCAGAAAAACAAAAACAACCCTGCTTTGCCAGCAACTATCTCACCACATCACTTCAAATTCCCTTCCACGTTATTACATCAAGCATTTGATGGCCAGAAAACAAACCGTAAGCAGCACAAATAGAAAAATCTCTCATTTTGCCATTCCAGCTTGTTTTTACACTTCCGAACATCTTCCATGGAAACATTCAAAAGATTAAGATGACTTAACTTTATTGCTGAACGCTAAAAGTACTGAAAAGAGATCAGTTTGATACAATCTGTGGGTATCTCCCCTCTGTGTTTGGAACCCAACAGGGTTGAGGTCCCCCCCGCAAAAAACAAAAAACAAAAACTCAGCACTTTCACTTCCTCATCCACCATCAGCATTAATCCTGCTAATGACTTCCATCAGCAGATGCTGTTTCAAGATGGAGCTGTAAAAAAATTGCATCTAAAAAAGGTCTGATTCAATTCACTCAGTGATAAACAATCTGGACAGTTAAACAATAGGCTGTAAAAAAAGTTCAGGCAACGCATGCCGACCAAAGTAAGCCGAGTGCTGAACTGACCTAAACCATTTCCAACTCAAATGCAGGCCACGGTTCACATTCAGACGAAATCTAAATACATTTCCCAATATTTAGCCCAAACCGGCACGTGTCCACATGCTTAAAACTAAGCGAGACCCAGAAACGATCCCTGGGAGAGAGCTGGCACAACAAAGCCCTGATCGGCTGGCCACGTGAAAGGACAAAACTTGAATTTCAAAACTCTAAACGAGTATTTTCACGTCTGATGAATGCACTTCAGTTTCTCTTATGTACAGGGAGAATTTTTTGTATCCAACTCTTAGTCAAGAACAAAAGGAATTGAACTAAATATGAGTATGGATAATGAATTAAAGTGACACAAGCTTTTGTCCTCAATAGACTTCCATGGAGTGAGTTACACACACAAGTCATCAGCAGCTCCCCACCACACTGACATTTTTTGTCCTATAAAGTGTAATGACAGAAAAATGACCATCACCCCCTGATTTACCTTCACCTTTGATGAACAATCAAAATTAAACACACTTCAGACTTCCTTTCCTCTCTTTTTTATCCTGATTCAGTTCAATCCTGCTGGAGTCCTATCGGGACAAATTTATTCCCTTTGAGGGAATTTCAAATCATAATTTTCTGACTGAAGCGTGCACAGCTCTGGACTGGCTAAGTGCGTGTGGTGTTAACGGCAAACATTGTGCTCAAAGCATTCTCGTCCAGAAAAAAAAAAGAAATTTGGTATCTCTCTTCTCTGTGGTCTAACATGCATCACATAAGTTAGTTGTGATTAGTCGAAACAAAAGTGGAAATCCTTGTGAGTGATCGGTAAAATCATTTTTGGGATAGTAATGCCCCTTTTGCTGCACCACGCTCTGTCATTTGTGGAATTTCGCCAGATATCTTTGCCTGTTTTTGACCACCATTTTCCAGGCTTCTTTATGCTCATGCTCAATATTTCTGAGAAGGTCATTTAATATAATGTGGTATTTGTCATGCAGTGAGGATTCAGCAAAGATTCTTAACACTCCTCCCATGTGAAACAGGACAAAAGCGAAACGCTCGCAATCAGTTTTGGGCACTCGAGACCAAAGTTTGAAAAAAATGCCAAGTCCAACGTCTTTAGAGTCTTAAAGCTACTGTTTCAGAGCCCAACAAAGCCAAGAGTGTCGTCACGGGTATTTTGGTGTGCAAAGTGCCTCCTCTTGAGACACAAAGTCAGCAGACAAACACATCTACATCAGCTTCAGGATCCCAAAGCCAAAACTCCAGTTGACTCTGGGGTGAGGAAGAACAATTTTCAGCATTTTTTTTTTTTTTTTTTTTGTCAAAGACTGCAGCTTTAAGGACTAATGTTCATCAGCAGAGTTTATTATTCGGGTGTTCATTCGACCAGCTGAGGAGGTGTGTGTGCGCGTGTAGCAAAGCCCCCCTGAAGTCCTCATCAAAGCGGCTGCTCAGCAGCACCTCCGAAAGGCCCTGAGAGACAGGAACATCCTCTTCTCAAAACCAAAGACAAAATCAATGACTCCCTCCTGGACAACCCAAAGTTGGGTCAACAAAATATGTCCATGTGGGGTGAGTGGAGGGAATTCTGCCGATGGCTACAACAGCACTGGGACCAGTGGAACCAGATTGTTGGGTGATAAGTTTTGACTGGTTCGTGTCAGAAAAACCTTGTCAAATCCAGACGGGACCCCTGGCGCGCGTCGCAGTGACTCGGGGTGGAGGCACTTCTCAGTCTCGTCCAGCAGAAAATAACTTTCACGGTCAGCCGAGATGTTTCTGCAACCAGCCGGTCGGCCAATCACAGAGCCGACTCGTTCTCAGAGCGGCAGGAGCTGGTGGTGGTGGTGGCGGCCTTGCCCTCCTTGTTGAGCTTCAGGAAGCTGGGCTTCTCTATTACCACGGCAACTGCAGCTTCACCGGCGTTTGGATTCTCCAGCGTCGTCAAAGCTCGTTTCTCTGAAGCTTTGGCCGAGTCCCCCTCCCTGTGGAGAACAATGCAAATCTGTTAGGACTGCATTTACAGAAGAAATAGATGGTAGTTGATCACTCTGGAAGATAATCTTGTTCATTTTATGTTAGACGCAAACATCTGAACAGGTCACAGGCCTCTTCAGTTTCAGGTTAAATCAACTATGTAGTTTAACAATAGTGATACTAAGATATGGAAGACATATGAGCAATACCTGTGATCTGATTATGAACACGGATACAGTAAATAGTCTTTCTGATGAGACAGCAGATGTACAAAAAACATTTTTAATAAAAGACGATGGGTCACAATGAAGGACCAGGTCAGGCTTTGAATCAGCTAAAAGAAAAACCCCAACGTGTGGTATTCCTCACCCGTTGTTTGGAGCCGGGTAAATGACCAGGAAGCAGGCAGTGAAGAATCCAAGTAGGGAGCCCACTGAGGCCACCATGGGAATGACACGAACACTGCCCACTGCCTCCACCACAGCACCCAGAGCTGAGGCCACCAAGATCTGACTGATGTACACCTGCACGAACAGACATTTCTCATTATCGCATATAAACGATAGGCTAAATTATGATTTCAAACTGTTAGTTGCTGTTTTAAAAGATAGGTTTTGTTTTCGGGGCGTAGCACCTTGAACATAAAGTGTAAGGAATCGTGAATAGAGATGAAACACTTGCCTGACAGGATAAAATGGCACAGTCGATTCCAAAACCTCGGCGGGAGTTGCCAGGACTGTGCTGGATGTACTGCAGGAGCCAGAGAAAGTCAGAGGAATCAGAAATGAACGTCAGCTTCTGAAGCTGCAAACTAAGTTAGCTAAGTTCTTCACAATTCTTTAGCTAACTCCCCCATCACGCACTGGCTGCACTAAAAGTCAGTGAGAACAGGGAAAAAAACGTCTTCAATGATGTGCTCTCAACAGCTAATAGAGGTTATATTAGGAAGTCTGAGGGGAGGTAGGGCTAGAAATAAGACTCACAAGCTGATGACTCAAGTTTAGCCTTGTCAATGTGCTTTTCTCCTCCTTTTTACAACTTCTACATTTACAAATTGAAAACATAATTTGAAAGCAAAACTTGCATACAAAGCCGGCATACCGCTTTCATTTCATGATATTGTCCTAACAGAGCGTAAGGACAGTAGGATATACTCATGGAGATGATGCCCATGCTGCTGATCATCACCATGGCAACATATACATTAGGAAAGATGGCCATGACAGCAGTTCCTGCAGAGAGGGAAAAACAATCAAGTAAAACAAATCCCCACAAAGTCAGATCATTTATATTTCCATTTTGCTCTTCCTCTGTGTTTCCTACCTATAGAGAATCCGAGCGTCCCCAGGATGTAGATTATCTTAATGCTCAGGTCAAAATTGTCAAGATACTTTTGAAGAAGAGCTGGGAAAGGAGGGAAAATTCCTTATGTGAACACCATTGTTTTCGAAAGTAGAAAAATCAAATGTAGAAACCAAAACCGTAAATGCAGTTACCAGAACATGTAGCAGCAGTCATGGCATAAATAACCAGTCCCCAGCACCCCATCTGAACTCCTCTGTGATAATTATCCAGTGATGTTGAGTTAACAGGGGACTGTGAAAAAGAAATAAGGCTTAAGTCTTAAGTGGGATGCACAAAAACTAAAAACAGTAACATTTGAACATCAATTATTGTAACCGCTTATTCCCTAATGGGGTCGCGGGTATAGAAAAACAATATTACACAAATAAACAGAAAAAGCAGTAGTGGAATAAATGCCTTTTGGTCACATCACATTTTCTTTTCACTGCAGACATTCTGGGTAAATACATCCACTTAAATGCCAACACTAACTGTCTGCTTGTGTGTTTACATAAGCAACTGAATGAATTCCCTACAGTGGGATCTCCTTCATAGATGACTTGTCCCATGAAGTCGGTGAAGAAGACGGCCTCTGCGATGATGGAGAACCAGGTGAGCAGGTGGCAGGCGCAGAGCCGCAGCAGCTCCGGGGGCATCTTCAGCATGGAGAGCCACAGCAGCCGCACGGTGGTCTCAACCTGAGCAGATGAGAGAAAAAAAGGCATCTAATAGAAGCAGATAATAATAAAATAAACACAACACTAGGTGTTGATGCTGGTAAAAAAAAAGTGTCATGTGAAAATGGTCCTAAATTCAAATATAATACGGCTTGATGTTATCTGTAGAGTCCTCCTCACCTCTCCCTCTTCGCTCTCTGTATCCCCGCCGGAGGAGTTGGTGTTCCCGCTGCGGTTCCTGCTCCTCTGCCTGCTCCTCCTCCTGTGCCGGGCCTCCACCTCGTACAGGTCGTTCATGCTGCGAGACGGCTTGATGAGAAACGCGGCGTTGGCTCGGCGGTAGCGGTAGCGGTGGCTTCCCACGCGCCCGTAGTAGGAGAAGGTGCAGGAGGGCTGGCGGTAGAAGGTGTGGCGGTGGGGGGGCTGCCGCAGGGGAGCCCCGGTGCTGGCGGCTGGACGGGGACATGTCTGTTCAGACTTTTTTACAGGCTTATCTAATCAGCCTCACTCATTTTTTTCATCTATTATGCTAAAAACTGCTCCGAACCAGGTTCTTTTGTTTTATATACAGAGGTGATTGTTTCAGATACAGATTATTCACACTTTTTTAACTTAGAAAAGTCATTTTCCAACACTCTAAAGTTACTATTTTTACAGAACATGAGGATGAATTTGCCTTCAATTGCAGTTTTTGCATAGTTTGTGTTTTGTTAAGTCACTGTCATTATCATTCAAGACACTAATGTCCTTTATAGCCGTACAAATATACTGACCTTTCACCATCCCAGCACGGTGGGCCTGTCCTTTAGAGCTCAGCCTGTTCATGCTGCCTCTGTCGGGATTATTCACACTGGCCAACAGCCGCCCATTCAGAGTCCGCTGCTCATTCAGCTGGTTGTTCAGCAGCGCCTCTTGCCCGTCGTCGTTTTCCATCTCTTGCAGGAACGCTGAGAGGCGGGAGATCCTGGGATTGGGAGGGTGTGTGTGATGGCTGGTGTGGTGGGCGCGGAGGAAGTCTTCGCTCCCGGTGCTGCTGCTGCGCCTGAGGTTGGCGAGGTGTGGGCGGGAGCTGCTGTGATTCGGGTTGAAGAAGGAAGCGGGGGGGGAGCTGTGATAGGGCGAGAGGCGATCGGCGAAGATGGAGGGCTCTATGTGGCACAGGAACATCGCGTCGTGGTCCATGTGGTCGAGAGTTGCGTCAGCCATGGCGAGAACGCTGTCACTTTTACCTGGAGAGAAAATAAAAACACATGGCATGATTTTAAGGCCGAGTACGCAAGAGCAAATGGGAGGAAAGAAGTGGGCGGGAATAAAATCATGGCTGTTGATGATCGACATGGTTTGCAAAAGTCTTCATGGATTTAATTGTATTCGGAATGAAAAAAAAAAAATCAGTGAAAGACGCAGTGGTTAGTGAACTTACTCCTCACAAGCTCCACTTCCAGGAAGTCCATGTCTCCATGCTCTGAATGGTTGTCTCCATAGGGATCATAGAGGTCATAGCTCTCCATCGTATCATTCTCTCCAATCATTTCCAGCTTGGGGGTGAGAAGTCCAGCCCTTCCATTGGAAGATGGTTGTAGTTGCGCCGATTCTGAACTTTCCTGGTAACAGAATAAAATTCAAATCAGTATTACTGTCGTTCCTGAAAAAGTTTTTTGGGGGGGTTTTTTTATCGTCCCGTACCTGATCGAGCCGGTCGTGTTGGGGCGAGTACCGCTGCTCCTCAATGCTGAAAAGATGGAGCGCCACGGAGATGGTGAACAGGATGGCGGCAAAGAAGAACAGGATCTGCTCCTGGGATTTGAAGATTACTCCAAGGAACGTGTGTGTCCAGTCCAAACCTCCAAGAGCGTAGCCAACCGCACCACCAAGGCCTGCATGCACCGAGCAGTCCGTCAACAGGGGAAGGCACCAAAAGCAAACGTCTGTCTGTAGCTTTAGCCGTTAAAACCATTACAAGTGTTTCAGCCAAACCTGCAGAGGCGGCGTGGATATTGAGCGCCATGTCTTGTTCTTCTGTATCTGCGACGTCTAGTAAGTATGCTCTGATTGGTCCTTCTGTGGCGTCCGCGCAGAAGTCCAGCACCACAACGCCCAACACAGTAAGAACAATGCCTATTGGTTGGCTCCCTTGTTCATCACCTAGCGATAGACCTGTCGGTGAAAAGAAGGTTGGATGTAATTAACAGTGTGTCTTTAGTATTACAGTGTTATTACAGTCATACACCTAAACCAACAGTGGAGGCTCAAAGCACATATCTCATTGAAAAAGAGACCACTTCATAAAACAGTAGATATAATGCTAGATTTGTTTGGAAGAGAGGGAAAGAGATGGACACAGACATTCATAAGAAAAACAAATAAAGACTACTGAAATGAAAAGACATAGTCTCAATCAGTCCTTCGAACACACATCATTCAACATTCGGCTTGTTCATACAAATGTGCAACTGATCTATAACTTCCGATCAATTGTAGCTACATATAGACACAGAACCAGGTCACTGCACATTCCCCAAACTGCATCGCATGTTGTGAGTGACCTTATGTTTCTCATTAGGTTTGTCTTCACCTCGGAGCGTGCCACGGTTCTGGCCTGAGTCAGAGGCTCTTTGAATAGAGTGAAGTTGGAAGTGTGTATTTTAAGGGTGCGTGTGTGTGAGTGAGATATCAGAGGCATTGTGACGCAGCGTGACTTTCCAAACTGAAATCCGTTAATGTCTGGGATATAAAAGCGTTCATAGAAAGAAAAGCGGTGTGTGCGTGCTCGCGCGCGCGTGTCGGACAATGGAGCCACAGTGCTCACTAGCCAGGCACCCAGACAGGAAGTGAACTGGGATTGGTGGAGAGGGGGAAGCAAACAGGAAGCATTTCCATGTGAACTGCCTGCTCTGGTGTTCCCATGTCAACACACACATTCACAGCTTTACACACACACTATACAGGCCATACAACTTACAACGCTTTTCCCATGTCACCCTGTGCCGTTTGCAGACAATCACATATATATTTACAACCATGGAAACACACATGTTCTCTCCTCCATTTGTTCATTACAGGTCACAGGTTTTCCCATGTCAGGCCCTCAAGGTGCTCCCACACAAACACGCCTCCCGGGTGCACTATTTCAACCCGAGTGCCAACTTCTGAGCAGAAGAATGGAGGCAGAACAGAATAGTATTGAGTACAACTGAATAGAAACTGCTGACAGAAAGCTCACACAGCAGCTCTTGTTCTTGTTATTAATAACTCCTCTGACATCTCATTAACCTAAGAGGTCTGCTCCAGTTTTGCAGTAACTTTGTCACACATTTGGTCCTGGTGTGGTTATGGAACGGGCTCGCTCTGTTATATCACGAGGACCCTGGCAGAGATGCGCCTATATCAGATTTCAAGCCAAGAAACAGTAACATGCACAACTGCATTAACCCATAACAATAGTCCTGCTGCTCAAAAACTGCTGTCCTTTTTCATACTGCTTGGGTCAAGATCCATTTTTGCCAAATCTTTTGGTGTATCCTTCTTTACTGATGTGGAATTTATCTCCCAAAATCAAACTAATGGAACAAAAGCATGTTTGAGTCAATCTATCTATACTGATTCCACTTCTTGTTGATACAACCCAAAAAGTTGTCATAAAGAGAGCTGGACGTTTTCTACTTTAACAAGCTGCATCCCTGTGGAAAGCCAAAAACTGGTCTAAGATTACATGAATTTACTCTCAGACGGTGAAAGCAGATGGCTGCCCTTCCTGAGTCTGGTCCTGCTGGACTCTTTCCTCTCCGCATTTGCGTCATGCATGCTCAGGTTAGATAATAAAATAAAAGAGAGGCTTCCATGTGATCTATTGGTTTCGGGGCAATGCGGAGGTCAGTGTCTAGCCTGAAAGCTCTTTGATAATAAGGACTGGCTGGTGAGCCACCTGCAAACGCTTTAGATAGGCAACCCTCTATCAGCTCAGCTCATGGAGTTGTTTCGTGTGTGTATATGATTGTGGAATATTCTTAATGTACTGTCTGAAGAAATCTCATGGGATAAATGTATCCTTATGTTTTACAGCTTATTTCATGTGATTATTCAACACATAGTGAATTAACAAATTTACTGAACTTTGACAATATGCAACCTGTCACTGATGCTTTTTCTTAATTTTTTTAGGGCTCGCAGCAATGATCCAACACCAAAAAATAAATGTTTGAGATATCTTCTGTATTGTCCAAATAGTTAATGCAACAATAGTGTGTGCAGAACAGGCAGAGATCACCTGCCTTTATGTTTGCATTCGTAGCATATGTTTCACATGTTACATCTGGAACTATGTGCCTAATGATCAATATATCTGTTTCATGATTGGTAGAAAATCAATTGGTTTGATTGGACTGAACCTTGTGGCAGCATCTGAGTGGTGCTATAAGCAGGGCAACAGCCTCTGTGTAAGGACACAGCTCTCTGCGGGGGATGCTCATGGCAAGTGATGCTCCACTGATTCATGCAGGAAGCTAATGTACTATTTTCTTTCCCCTGTGGGACAAATGTGCATTATGGGTAATGAGAGGGTGCTCACATTACAGATTTATGCTGTTCTTTCCTATCAAGACTTTTGTTCAACAAACAGCATGGGATAAACTTTTGTAATGTCAAACTAACAAGAACTGCAAACGTAGAATAAAAAAAAAAAGCATGAAACTTGTTAAGTCCAATTTAAAAAGTAGAAATGTATGTTTTTTAGGTATTTGCTATTTATCTTTTGTCTGACTTAATATTTTCTTCAATCAGTGAATTACAAATAACTCCTGAAGCACATAATGGGTATTTTTTCCCTGTTTATGAACAACTTCACTTTCTTTGATGTGTGCTTGAAATTAAGATAGAAATAGAGCCAAAACTCCTTTTGTGTGTACTTCACAAATGTCGTGCCATAAATTACAGGTGCTGCACAGGATTTACTAATATTTATTAATACTTGTGGTTACTTAAATTCAATAGTTAAATTCAATCCCACTTTTGCTTGGACACTCAACATGCTTCAGTTTCAATATGAAACACTAACCTATCAGTGATCCATTCAGAAACAGGGCCACTCCGATGAGTGTTCCGATACACAGAGCCAGGATGAAGGGTCTCCTCCTGCCCCACCGCAGAGTGCAGCGATCGCTGGCTGAGCCAATCAGAGGGGTGAACATGAGGCCAAGAACTGGACTGAGGAACCACGTGAGACTGTAGTACTGCTCTGGAAGACCTGCACAGAAAAGACAGACAGCTGAATGAGTTGTAGGCAGAGACATAGACAAATGCAGCCAGGAGACAGGAGATTGTTTTTGTCATGTTTCCACCAGGGGGCAGAAGTTACATCCTAACTGTAGGAGTCAGTCTTTACTCTTATGATTTTTTTTTTTTAGTAATCCTTGGACTGAACTAAGTTGTAAATACATCGATTTATTGCAGTCTATTAGACAGTGTATGCAGCTCAATAAATGATGATATCCTGAATCAATTATATTTCAATAGCAGCACCCATAAATCGTTTAGTTAGTGAACTGCAAAAAAAGCAAACTGCATCAATGCAACATTTAACAGATGCACTTATAAATTCAACAAAGGCCAAAATATCATAGGCTTAACTCAGAAAGACAGAAAAAACACATTTTGGAGCTGAATGCTGTATGCTGGTAACAACAGGTACCTGTAATGATATTTCACATCTGTGATCCGTGATAACAAGGCTTACAGTGAATAACGACATGTGATACAAGTGTTACTGCAGTTGCTTGTGAAGCAGCGCAGAGGCTGACTGTTTTAACGCTTTCTATCCAGGCTATTATGATGATAAAGAAAGCATTTCTCTCAGACCTACAAAGCACTTGTGTAGCTTTCCCTGAACTCCTCAAAGTAAAAATAAAGCCCACAAAAATGTAACTTGAAATTAGAAACACTGAAACAAAATCTCCAATGGACTCCTGAAAACAAAAGAATGCTGATAATATTCTTTTTCTGGATTGAATTTGAACAGATCTCAGGATCATACTGTGCATGTGACCTTGTTAGTGAGCGCTTATTTAATTATCTATGCGCTGTAACTTTCCACCACCGCACCTTTCCAACTAGGTGAGACTGTGAAACACCTGCTGCCTGGCAGACGTTCAAATGAGACTAGTGGATATAAAAAAAAGCAAACAGGAAGCAACAAGCCCAGGGAAACATACACATCCTTTCAATAGCTCTTAATAGTAATACTGTACAAAGTGCCTTGTCAGCACATGAAACAACATTTGAAAAAAACTGTCACCATCTTTGATAATCCGACTTCATCATCTCACAACAGTGGTGGTTTAAATACGAGGCTATTTCAACACTTGGATTCAAATATAACATCAATAACTAGAACATCAAGTTAGGGCATCATAGTGTATGAAGAAACTATCAAAAATAGATACATGTTTAGTCCAAAGACCTTTGCAATTATATCCAGTTTAAAAAAATAAATATCTTTGAATTATTTCTTATAGTTGCTCTATAAAAATACTACTATCCTGACCAGTAAAATGCATAAAGAGATGGAAAGGGATTGACCTACAATATGAGATTATCAGGGATGAAAGGGGCGATATTCTGCTATAAACTGGTGCAAATTAGGACACAATCCTGACACCATTTCCATTATCTTTAGAAATCAAAACACTTTCTTTCCATACCTTTTTTTCATACCTAAAATATCAATCAGGACATTGTTAAATATCTATATTTCTTCAGCCATGCATACATATACAGGTTTCAGATCTGTTCACTTCAGAAGGTGATCAAAACAAAAAATTATGGTGACTTCATCATAGCTGTGGGTTTAACATATAGCATCTCCTTGTTTTCAGATTTCTCTGAAAGTCTAGATTAACATCTCCACATCAGTATTCTGATTTAGTTCAAAACTTGCACGTTTCTCATTACTGGAAAAGATTATCTTGGCATCAAAGTCAGATGGTGCAGTCATATATGTACAGTAGGTCATGTATGCCATGTAGGAGTTGCAGAGGCTCATAAAAGAACATATACAAGTTTTTCCTTGGAAGGAGAAATGTGAGCTCGGTTGAGGTTATGAAGGCAGGAAGATGATCACTGAAAATGCATTAAATGCCATTTGGCTGTCTTGTGGCCTCCCGATAATAGAAACTGGAGATGAGGGGGGAAACAATGAAAGTATCAACTGATGAGGTTGGTCTAAATGTGTCTGCTTGGAGTCTGAGGATAACCCAACCAAGGCTGGCTCAAATAACGATATTTGTCTTATTTAAAAGGACTGGGAAGTCCACTTTACCGTCTAAAACATCTCTTAAGGTAACCATATTATCAGGCAGCAAATGTCTTCAGAGGTGATACACCTATTTAACAGATATGTAGCACAGTACATTCATTTTAGCAGATAAAGATGAGGGGCCGTTTTAGAGTCCATCTGCTTATTGTTTGCAGAAGCACAAATAAGATGGGCAGCGTACAAGTGCTGACTCCTAATTTGATAAAGAGCAGATTAGGAGGCTCTAAATTTGAATGTACTTTCATATTCCTCAGACGTCAATAACTGAGGGCCATTCCATTCAACTATCAATTGAATAATTGAATGGAAGATTAAAAAAAAAGTCCCCATCCTCGAGCACGGAGTATTGAACAGAACTTCACCTCAGTTCAGTTTTTAAATGCCCAGACCGTTTACTTCCCAGACTCACAAGAGCCACAGAAGTCATGAAGCAAATAGTGTGTCTGTGAGCATGTGGCATTTGGTTTGGGAAATTAGGGGGGCTGTATGGGAGGAGTTGTTTACTTATCGAAACAATGTTCTGATGTGGAAAAACTGCCTGCAATCGTGGTTGGAGTTTTTATTGCTGTAGATGCACCATACATTTCTGTGTGTCAAGAAGTTTGGATCTCTCATATGATGCAGATAATGTTGAACATCATGAGGTGTGTGGCATAGAAAAAGGGTGCAAATCATGAGCAGAAAGGTCAGACATGCTGAAAACGTTGGCTGAAGCCCCAAACAATCCGCCAGCGTTGCAGCTGAGCATCATTCTCGGTTCAGGTAAGGTTGCAATCTGATTATAAGCTTTATCTGCGTCCTTTTTTCCACCATTTTTGTCAGGGGATCAGCTGGGCTGCAGTGTTTTTTTGGGATCGGTCTCAATCATCCGAGTACATCATCACAATGATCAACAATAACCAGCAACACATAACAGGTTAGGTACAGCCGTGGCGTCATGATGAGTCGGGAAAATCCAATCAATTTGATCACGCCAAAACTGATCCCATCGTGACACATTTAGCAACTGTAACGGCTGATGATGCAATATATAGAAGGGCTATTAACTTTGGAGAAAGCCACTCTAAACTTTTGTGCAAATAGCATCATAACTTAATGCCACCATTAAACTCAATTGCGTGGTTTCAGCACCATTGACACACAATGATTTTTTCTGCAGGTCCAAAAGATCACTCAACCCAAAGTTGATGGATTCCGTCTTTGTGTTGCATCACCTTGTATGTAAATCCACGACAACGTTGAAAGTAAATCAAATTTTACATGTTAAGCTTCCCGAGATAAACGGTTTTCGCCTTTTTTAAACTGCGATGTGCTAGCAAAGTCTTTTTAAAACAATGAAAAGTAGATCACGATATGAATGGGGAGAAAACAGGTGTAAGAAAATGAACTTGTTGATTACTATTTTGTGCTTATATAAATGTATGCCACAGATAAAAGCCTCTTTTAGTACATATGGTCTCCTTAGGAACATTTGCACATACATAGAAATATTTCCTAGACTGTGAGTCTTTTGTGTGGTTTAATAGACAGCCTGCACCTTTTAACTGAAGGTAGCAGGACCTTGGCGAGACCTTTCTGTCAGAGAGAGTCACGCAAAAACAAACTACAGGTCATGCTCCTGTTGTCTGGTACAAATGCTGACCTCGGCGTATCTCTTGAGCTTATAAAGAAAAAAAGGGAAAAAAGAAAAACACAAGCTTAACCCTGCTGCGGTGGCGGCCAGGTCTTGGGAACCCTGTCGCCATGGAGCCTCCATCACCTTCACTTCCTGGCTCCTAATATGGCCGTGTCATTCACAAAGTGCTTCCTGTCGGGGGGGGGCTTTTTCAGACTTCTCTCCTCCGATTTTGTTTATGCGTTTCTTATACAAATTTCAGTCGGTTCTTACTGTCTCCATCTTTCGCACATTCGTACACCTCAGAACATAAACACAAATACACAAAAAAGTTCACGGACAAAAGCCGTGTTGTGCAACCATAAAAGGGGAAACAAAGCAGCAGATAAGAATCGGCCTCAGTACGAAGGTTTGTCAACATCAAAACAGGAAAACAGTTTTTAGTAAACAGTTCCCATACACAACCATAGACACGCACACAAACACAGACAATACCAAAAACACAGACAAAACGCAGTAAATAAAGATACGTCTCTGTTCCCACACACACACACACACACACACACATCTGAGATACAGTTCCCACACACTCCTGGTACTGTATGCGCAAACACACACATGCACAGGGAACAATACTGTGAGAATCAAAACGCAGGAAGTATTTTAGAAAAGAGAGAAAAAGAAAGGAGGGCAGCGAGTGAGAGCGGAGGGAGGAAACGCGGAGGGAAGGAGTGTGAGAAAGGACCCACATCAAACGAGTGGAGGACGGAGAGCGCGGGGATAAGGTGCGAGGAGGAGGAAGCGCGGAGGACAGGGAGCGCCACGGAGAGTTCAGATTCAGGCCATCACGCCGCCGGTGAGCGGTGCTGATTGATCGTGGGAAAGAAGTAAAAGAAAAAAAAGGCAATCTGCTCAATCTCTCATCATTTTCCCCGCACGTTTCCTCCTCACACACAGCAGAAATAATGGAGCGCCGCGTGCACAAACTGCCCATTCATCACAGCATCTGTGCAGGTTTAGTGGGCTTTTCACCACGTCGTTCCTGCACTGACAAACGCACAAAACCTTCTGAGGATCAGTTGTTTTCTGACCTCCGGCTGTTTAAGTATACACTAGAAAGTGACCTGGGAGGAGGGAGGAAAGGGTCCATTATCTGCGTTATTAAACCTCATAGCCTCATAGGAACAGATCAAAATAAGAATATCTTGTACTGAATGATTCTATGGAGTAGATTCACTCTGATGTCACTGATTTTTAGTCCAGTTCTTGTGTCATCTGGCACACCTCAGCCCATTCCCCTCCCTGAACACAGCTTCTGCACAGCCACCCTCCCATGACAAGACTATATCTTTAGTTAGTTTTTA